TGGTTACATTGTAGTTTCAAAGGACCAATCACAGGTAAGTAGTACCTCATTATTAATGTGTAGCTCCCCTGCCTTATCTATACTATGTTCATAATGTAACCTTATTAGTAAAAAGACGGTGCATCTTCGTTGCAAACATGAAAGTGGTCAAGTTAATTAAAAAAAGAATTATAAAATTGGCAAATTTATTGTAATAAATAAATTGAAGCGAAAATAGCATTTTAAATATAATTAATTTAATTTGGGTATGTAAAATAGATTATTTATCATACCATGTGCGTGGAAAAGGTTATCATTCACTGAAGAAATGATCTGTTTAAATCCTCAGGTGGGATCACATTTTGCCTCGCATTCACAGAACATAAGATTGTTCGACAAGCTTATCAACGATGACATATTCAAGGAGTAAGTAACCTATGTTTCCTTTCATGTTTCAGTGTCAAAAAATTGTTTTGTTGTTTGAGGATGGGGTTTCATTCGCACATAGCAATCCACTATTGTCTTATATGAACTGCTTTCACTTTCCTCCACCTTTTAATAACTCTCAACACTTTATTTACTTGTTGAATGACTACTGCCCAGCGTGCCCTTATGGTAATAAAATGTCTATTGGATATGATATCTAGATACAAAATAACACAATAAATTTATAAATATGGTTTAATAATTCTTGCAATAATACTCATGATTATGATATTTAAAATCATCTTATAATCTTAAAAATCATCTTTCAGTTATGCTATGAACAGTATATATACGCATATTCATTTCTAGATTTATTTAAATTATCGGCATGCCAAATCCACTAGAATTAAAGCGGCAACATAACCAAGCATCCTTTATTTACCTTAACAACTGTTGTATTTTTTCCATTTCTGTGCAGAGTAAAAGTGGTTGATTATCAAGGAATGTGTGGCCGTGATATCATAGTCAGTGCTGCCCCAACGCTTCACAATGTGAGTCTCTCAGTTTAACTTCATACCGATGATCTCATTCAAAAATTAGACGTAATCGTAAACCATGATAAGAATGAGGTAGATAATTCGCCCTCGATGTTACGTTAAATTGCATTAGAGGGAAAATTGCGATAGTACCAGCAATCAAAGGTGGGGTGACAATAAAGTGTAAAGTCGTCTTTCCCCAGCCATGCATGAATTGTATATTGGTATGTGCTAGTTATTATAACCTCTATTTGTCATGAAAAGTTCTAAAAACATAGTTATACCTTATCATAATCGATGATTTATAACAGCAATACATTAGCTTCGCAACTTCTTACCATCATTCTAAAACTCAATCAGATTTGAGATATATATTTGGTATCAATGTATGTAGATTGCAATTACGACAACTCGATACTTCTGGTTAATAGGATAGAGTAAATTCCATAGTTATTTCTCATTGCTCCTCTTATGATTATTCTTTCCAGACATTATCAAATATTCTGTCAATGTTCACCTGGTTGGCCAATCAATTCACAGTGTAAGTATGATGATCATGATGTGCTCTCTCATAGCATTAATGATCGCAGTAAACAAGTTCTTTGATTGAATAATAATGAAAATTAGAAAATGTATATTGACGTTAAAGGACGGTAGTTTATCTTTATTATTACTGTTCTTCACGAGGACCATATTATATTATGTTGTAAATCATATCATGCTATTCACGATGATGAATAGTGTCCAAGAATTAGTAACCTCTCTCGGCCTGTCTACAGTCATGTACATGATATTCACGTTGTCCAATTTTACATTTCATTTTAATTCATAAAATCAATTATCTTTATTTCATGAAAATTATAATATTTATGATTGAAATATATTACTAAATTATATATATATATTTTTTTCTTTTTCATCAGCTTCCTAAGCCATATCAGTGTGTACGATTGGTTGGTATCTACATTATCGCCTGTAGGTAGGTATTCATTTAAATTCTTCGTACGGAATATGTTTTACATAACTATTATTCATTACTTTATTTTTAGTCAAGTGTAAAAAATGAAATTAATATGTTTCTTTGCAGGATAAAGCTGACAATTTATATCTTATTTTCCAATGCGCTGGGAACGTTTTTGTGGACTCAAACAACTTTAGTTACTCGTGGTAAAATTTAAGGATTGATTTTGTCCTTATTTAGACGAAATTGAAGATAAACACATAATAAGACGATTGAAACATGTTCCACGCAAACTTTGCTTCACAGAAAATTTGAAATGACTGTTTGTATTCTGAAATGCTTTAAATGTGTTGGACAATTTCAAAAGCTCCACTTCGATTCATTTCATCCAAAATTAATATTCAAAGAAGAAAAAATAGAAGAAACTAATATCACTGTAACTTTTATAGCTGTACTTACTATATCTGATATAACCTTGAATAGCACAGATATCATAGCGTCTTGTGTATTTCTTTGATTCCCCTTTTTCTAGATGCATTAGCTGAGAGAGTATGGTATGAGCCCTGTGATCTCGAGTACTCATTTTATGTTGCGAATAAATCTGATAACTTCGTGGGAGGCCAACTATACGGTTACTTCCAAACTTTTTGTGACGACTGCATCAAGTGAGTTAAGTTATTAATATTAGGTTATTTCCCTTTACATTACATGAATGTGTCGTTTATATTTATATCACTTCGAAATAAACCATTTTTAAATACAACTTGAGACAGGTAGAATGTTCAAGCAAAAATACCGACGTTGATAACATATCTGTTGATAATATAACAGTTATTTAATGTTGGATCGGTAGTAAATGTTGCTACTGATGCAAACAGAACAACAACAAAAACACGGTTGCTGTGTTATTCTACATACAGCCCTACCTCCCGCAACACCCCTCAATTCTCAATCAAACATTTTACATATATCATTTGTTTTGTCTTTAATTAAAATGCGAAGAATTCAACATTAAAATTTGTCAACAGCTGGAAAAAATCTTTTTGTAGAAGCTCTCGCAGTAATCAACACTCTCTCTCTCTCTCTCTCTCTCTCTCTCTCTATCTCTCCCTCTCTCTCCATTCCTCCCCCTCTCTCTCTCTCTCTCTCTCTCCCCTCTCTCCCTCCCCCTCTCTCTCTCTCTCTCTCTCTATCTCTCTCTTGAATCGCCACAGATCTTTCGGTGTGCAGCCAGTGCCTTATTCTAACCTCCTTCTAGTCATCCAGGACAGAGACTGTACATGCGAGCCTAGAGATAGCGTTCAACTAGATCCTATAGAGGTAGAATACAATGAAACAGCCTGGTGCCAAAAACTACGACAATTCAAGACAAGGCGGAGACCTGATACGTGCTTCAACTATGATAAAAAAGTATGTCTTGCTTTTTTATTTTACTAAACAAACTTTGAGGGGGAGGTGACTCTAATGGTTGCCTTTTCTTTAATGCCAGCTGCTTGTAACAAAAACAGGAATTATGATAAAATGGCACTTTTAACTCCATAAGCATAATACATGTAATAGGCAAATGAGTTATCCCCATCTGAAACTTAAAAAAAAAATCAGTCCGTAAAGCAGTTGTTTCATCTTCGAAGAAGCAAATTTGTTGTTTTATGAAATTAGGAGCACGTTCCATAGTCCTTTATCATTGCCCATTTTACTGGAATTTTTATTGTCATGAACTGGTCATATCATATTGACATTTCCTTTTTAATATGGAGATGATGTTTAACCCTATCTTTTATCATTCTGATGCTTTTTTCATCACTCAGAACGATGTGATTTTTCCTATGTGACGGTTCATTTACAGGGGTCTTTATAGTTGTCCTTGTCTTTTGCTTAAATACATGTTTACCGATATAACATTTTTGTGTTTGGTAATATAATTATGTACACGTTTTCCACTAAACAGGAGGATTCTTCAGAGTGTGGGCGTGGCTTCGCAACCCAACCTTCCACCATTCTCATTCTCACTGCTCTTGTTTTGACCGCATGGTGGCGTCACCATTAACTGTCTTTGGTCTCCAAAGGACAAATTTTGCCGTTATTCTTCTCTTGACATGTTTAATTTGGTGTGCGATTTTCATTTACGGTGCAGAAGCAATTTGAACAATAAAATATTTCAAGCGGATGATGAATACTTCCAAGCTATATATTCGGATCCGAATTCACGAGGATGGAATTCAAGAGAAGAAAAACCAATCCTTGATGATATTCTTCATACTTTACTTCTGTGCTGGGATGTTCTCTTGTGCAATCTATTGGACACTGAAATGATGAGCCCGTCAGCTCTCAAGGACTATAGTGTTGTGACAAAGAGGGTGAAAAAGTGTTGTGACAGAGAGGGTGAAAAGAAAGCAGAATTCCTTTTATTTATAAAAGGAAGAGCTTGGATTTCGGAATGTTTAATTATACTTCTTCCTCATAAACTATGACAATATGCGAGTGGTATATGGCTCGATATCATGAATGGCGTTTTATTAATTGATTTATTGCACATTTGAAATCAAAGAGGTCAAATCATTTCATGCATGTTCATTTCATAATGGAACAATTAATCTCGTTGGTATACCCAGTGTCTTGAGTTTACCATAGCCTTGTGACCGATTGACATATACAATATTTGAATCATTTTGACTATGTCATGAGTGATGTCTCATCATGACGAGTTCTACGTAGGAAGTTTATCAATTTGATTTTGACTACATTTTTATATTAACATGACATTAGTGCATTACAAGGATTTTTTATACTAGGTGAGCAACATTTGCTTTACGTTTTTCGTATACGGTTTGTGCCTTTTTTACATTTTTGAATTAAAATGTTTTTACCTCTTGTATGGTGATGAAGGATGAAGGATAAAAAGGTTGATGGTGGAGGCCTATACAAATAGTAATGTAAAAAAAAAATGAAACAAGAGCAATTACAAAATGTTATTTATCATAATTATTCATGTCGAGAAAGCGTCTCAATAATTATGTTTCTTTTTATTTTCAGCCTGATTCAGGTATGGTCTTTTTTCATGATTCAGCTGATCATTTAGCATGAGGCAATGTTAATGACCTTTTTAAAACAAACTGCCTGATTATTTCACTCACCTGATGGTGAGTTATAATTATGAAAGAATCGTTCAAGCCTATGCGATTTCAGTTGCAGAATGTCTTTCAAGTGATAAAGTGCGTTATTTTGTTACACCTCGAGTTGAAGCAAAATTACAATATATTTCTTTGCTTTTTGTCTCTAGATTTGTTTAATGTGTATCGAACTACCGCTGAAAGGGTAATGCACTTGTTAATTTTATTTAATCATAGCAGTATTCAGAAACGTGGATCGAGAAACGTGGATATATTAATAATTTGAATAGGGAAAGTATGTATAATCAATCATCAACATCAATATGTAGGTGTAAAGTAATTTAATTGAAAATATCCGTATATTTGAATTATAAAATTGAACTTTATTCCTTTGCATCTTTTGGTTTCAGTAAATGGATTATATTCAAATTCTTCTCCATCTCTCTCTCTCTCTTTTCATCTTTATATATCACTAATATTTTCCGAAAATTTTGTTGAGCTCTTTAAAATATGAATTGAAGCAAATGCAGTATTGTGATATGCATTAAGCATAAGATTTATTCAGTGTGTGCCATTTCTTGACATATAATGTGATTATGAAATTAGGCTAGTGCTGGCAAATGCCAAACGTTTTCTAAAATGAGATGAAATTCAGGTAAAATCGATCAAACCAAGTAACAAACCTACACGAATTAATCAACATGATCAATGTCAATGATCAAAGATTTTAAATTAAAATGTGGATAGCAAGGGAGCCGAACAACAACAAAAACTGAAAACCGTCGGGTGAAAAATAATTTCCATTCCCTGAAAAGGGAGATCGTCTTGTAGTAACAAATTACGTAGTCTGCACTTTCCATGGGACCTACATGCAGTCCACCCCATAATAATAGGCCAAGCAAAATGAGAAAATATGTTTCCCTGTGAAACACTATGAATACGATTTGAATTTAACAAAAAACATTTGGCCCGTACCGCCTTAACATTTCAAAAGATTAATTTGTTTTAAAGGGCCCTTTTTTTTGTTACAATGGTGCTCTGTGGGGCTTCCAACCTCGTGTCGAACGTGTACTATCAGTGATACTTCTTGATTTGTATTTTCTCAGGCTGTAGAGCTTGAACAACAGTGCTTTTTTTAAAAAAGATTTCTGAACGATGAACTGTTCTGGCAATGAAATCTCTATCTAAATGGGGTGTGGACGTTTCCTATATTTTGTTCTTTTCCCGTATTCTTTGTGTCAATATCTGATCTATTTTATATTGTGCTTCCGATGAATTGCTATGAACTTTGTGTAAGGTATTTTGTTAGGTATGTACTTCGGAATATTATGTAAATGTACGGTTCTTGCTTTTAAATTTAACTACTGAATTACATCGTGGCAAACACTCCATAAAACCACAAATTGGTACATCACCTGTGGAAATATATACGAACATTATATCTCTTATATTAGTCTGCATGATTATGATGAGATGATTTTTCTCGAGCTGAATTCTTGTTGAAAGTGTTTGCGACCGTGTAAATCAGTACTGTATTGTTTTGTTACTACATGTACACTTGTTGCAGTTATTGCATAATATGTATCAAGTTTTTTAATCAAACATGGAAATTATTGAAATGACCGGAAATATCAATGTCCTTTTTTTTCTACAAAGTCACATTAAAAAAAAAGTGTCGTAAATTGTTATATGTACAAACAAAAAGCGAAAACAAAAGGCAAAGCGAAAAAATGTTTACGTTGGCATGCGTTTAATAGTAAAAATATTTGCACAAGTTCTTTCAAAGGACAAGAAATGCCGGTAACTACAAAAATTTCAAAAATACAAGAAATACATCATACATGTCAACAAAAACAACTTCAATACCGTGGAATTAAATATTATTGACAAGATATCACCTTACTTTCACAACAAACGAGACAGGCAAGTGATGATTTTTAAAACATTAAATGAGTTAAAGAGAAATTCTCGTTGGGCAAGAAACACAAATTCCACTTTCCATGAATACATCTACATTGTCAACCGTTTAAGTCTATATAAAATCGTATACTAACTACTATTGTTTAACGCGTACTGTATAAGCAATTACGCCTCCCAAATACTATTATGGCAAAGCATTACTAGACCATTTTGAAGAAGGGGGGGGGGGGGGGTGTCCAATTTACCGACCAAAGAGCTGGCAATTTTTAATTCATGGGGGGCAGGCGAGTTGTCATATACTCATCTACCGACAACTCCAGCAATAAGGTGTGCCTCGTCATTCTCTGGTTACCTTTGAATCGTACTTACCACAATGTAAATCAAGATTAATGGTAAATAACAAAACAAAAAAATTTCTCTACCAAAGAATTTATCTGTGAAATCTACAACTTAGACCTTCAACCTTACGACAACGTAATCCGGCAATCTCTAGACTTCAATTCTTTGTAGCAAAGGTTGAGGTGACGCAATGAATCGTTTATAATGGTGTCACAGAATAATTTTTAAAATGTATACATTGTGAGTTTTGGTAATATATTGATGGGTATTTCAATACAATTACATTATGTTCATGCACATTGGGCTCTTGAATATATGACCCTTAAAAATGTTAAAGCCAGTACAAATTGATCTCAAGATTCTGTAATGGAACGAGGGAAAGAGGGAAAGAGGGAATGGGTGGATAAAAAAAACGGAATCTTAATGCTTTCCGCCCAAACTCTGATGGCACTGGCATATAATGAACAGAATAATGACACGTTAAAAAAAAAAAACGAATGAGAAAAACGAAACAACAGAATACATGTATGTTTTAAGTAACACTAAACATAATACTGTAACTATGCAAGTGAAATTGACTTATCAACCGCATATCCCTTTCAAGATCTCCAAAACCGCTACACAGTGTTTCTCAGTTGCATTTATTTATTTATTTAAAAAAATTCCTTTTCAACGCTCAAAGCACTTTAACTTTCATCAATGCATGTTTTAATCTCTATTAAAACCAAAATAACATGTCCACACATTACCCATATAGAGAAAAGCGATGTTATATTGACTCTATACAGATGATTTCAAAACACAGTACCTTTAGTAGACTTACAAAACAGGGCCAAAATAATACATGTACTTTCAAGTTTCTAAAACTAAGGTTTATTTCAAAATGACATATAACAAAAATACTAGAATTGTGGTCACCCTCATAACGCAACGATCTACAGCAGCCAATGCAAATAAAATATTTCAAACAAGTACATGTATATTATTTCTAAAAGAAACACATTGTTTAAAACAAAAACAGTAATATGGAATATTTGATGCCATGGCATGTTTATAATATCGCTCTGTAATGATAAATTTTAAAAATGAAATATTTCAACAACATGATTTCATAGACATATATACAACAGAAAAAAATGAAAAGATGAGGCAATCATGGAGATTTGAAAAAACCAAGATCAACAAAATTCAGTCATGAAACTGAAAACAACATAAAATATAAAAAAACGATGTATATCATTACGAAAACAAAAGCAAAAGTCAAATTTCTGTACGTGGGCAAATAGATACGGTAAGGCGATATTTATTTGGTCAATTTGTGCCATCTGACATCAAACGGTCCTCCTTGGCCCATGCAACCAAACCTATCGGATACCAGACCGCCATCGATGCCAATATCATCTGCTGACATCGTGTGCATGTATACCATGAACCTATAGAAGAGAGAGAGAGAGAGAGAGAGAGAAAGAAAGAAGGGGAAGAGAAAAGAAAAAGCAAGAGAAGGGAGAGAGATAAAATGGGACAAACAACTTTTTAGAAAATGAAGAGATACATAATTTAATAAACTGAATATCAACAATGTTCATAGATAATAGAGCAACAATGGGAATAAGCAAGGTATATACCATACAAAAAAATATGTTCAAAATTCACATCATCACATTTTTTTAAAACCCTCTGAAATGGTACGTGTCTGCCTTCATTATACTACAGCTTCCTCTTAACATGTATTCATAAATATGCAGCTGTCATCCAGATGTTCTAAAAGATAATACTCCTTTGAAAACTCAAAATACATTAATTATCCCACAACAAAAACATGACAAAATATTCCTCTGGTATCTAATCGACACGACTGTCATCGGAGTAGTTGTTTCTATAATTCTTTGTTTCTCTTTCAACTCACCTGGAAGAATCTTTAAGTTTAAGTTGTTCCTTGATGAAGTCCAAGACCTTTTGAGAGGTATCTCTTCTGTGTTCTACATCTCCAAAGCCACGGGATGTACACAATGAGACATACCCGGCAGGGTCAGTGGAGCCCCCACGAAACATGAATTGATTCGGCTGAATGCTGACAGTTATTTTCTGACAAAAAATAAAAGAGAACACAAATAAATGAATGATTGAATAAAGAAATATGTATGAAATAATAAACAAATTCATTGATCATCAATCAACAAAAAAAGAAAGAACGAGAGAAAAAAAGAAACATGGCAAAAATCAGTTCAAAAGTGTAGTATAAGAACCCACATGCTCTTTATAGATGCAAGGAGTAGGGTTCACTAATCAAATCACGATTTATATGTGAATGTTCAAGTAAACTTTTCTTTTTTAACACAAAAAGCAGTCGGGATCACCATTAACCCATTAAGTCAAACCAGGATTGACTGTGGTGAAGAAAAAAAAAGTTTGATGATGTTTCCACCAGCTTCATTGTCAGGAGAGCGGAAAGGGTATATTGGAATGGAATGAGCCCTGGAAATGAGACAGATAATACTCTGATTGAAATTTGTCATTCTATAGTTAACATTTTGTGAATTATCAGTATTCCCAAGGGCTGATTTTCACATCACTGATTAAAATTTGAGGGCTAACTCGTGACACATGACTAACTCGCTAGACACTAGACAGCAAACAATACTTTAATATTTATTTTTCTGACATGCACAATATAATCAACACTGTTAATATTGACCCGTAAGATTCTGTGTGCCTAGCTAGATAATTGTTTATTCAGGCCTACTCAAAGATAAGGAAATCACTCTGTAACCAAACTGAGTCATTTGTTTCAAACATTATGACAACCCATTCCCAGTGTCTCTTCCTGTTAGTATTTCAGGTTGGCTTACAATCATTTCTGACGTTACACATTATCAGCAAATTGACAACAACCATGAGACAGTGGACAACACTCACACTTTCATAGAGTACATTACAATGCAATATTCCGTCTTGTACATGTAATTACTGTACATGATTTAATTATATTAAAATATTTGCCCTTATTACAATGATTCCTCTGGCATAGGCCTACTATTAAAGATCTAGAGCTGTGACCCAGACAATTTAAATGGAGTTAAGCACCTTTTTTATTATCAATTTTGCCAAAAATTACCAATGTACTTTAGTTACTGTGAATTGGTGATCATCTGATTATGATGATTCAAGATTGTTACATCACACAGGTTGAAGGGTTGAACCATGCGATAAGGATTGTGGTGCAAGTGGAAATTAAATTTGTCTTAATACCAATTAAGTGAATTTTAACTTGGTGGTTGTGCAATAAACTACACATAGTACCACTAATCTGATTCTTCTGTGAATAAAACTTGTGTATCAAAGTGCAGTAAGAGACATTCTCAGATTACTTCATGAACAGTATTAGCTTTAGTTTGGAAAAAAGCAGTAAACATATTCAAGTTTTAGTGAAGAATTATCTTCCTTTTGAAAATGCAAGGGAGAATTATAAGAATATAGCAAATAAAAAATGACAGCAATCATGAACAGTTTTAATTGTATGCATAGACTTTGCATCAAAGTGCAATGAATCCCATGGTCTGGAGCTGTACATGTATGCCTTTGTTTAAAAAAGAAAGAAATAGTCTCCTGTACCGGTCAGTAAATGTTCTGTCATGGGATATATTTATTGGAGGGGTAGAAAAAAGATCAAGAAAAACAACAGGCTTTACATCACGCTACCAAAATTTACCCCCCCCCCCCCTTCCCAACAAGAAAATGGGGCACATACCTAAACTATCGCAGAGTAAACATTTGAGCAATAGACAATAGCCGAGGGATTGATTGATTTTCAATACAATTCTCAATACCCTGGACCGGTTTCAACAATTGAAAAAGCATCGCTCCCACATCCCATCCTCTGCATTGTTGTTTACAGTTGGCATGCACCCAAGCAGTACAAAAGGTACTTTCTGTTTCTGTTTCTGTTTCTGTTTTGTCGGAGTCTCAGAGTTAACTATACTTCACCAACGTTTTGATTTGTGTGGTCTTGGTTGTGCTATGGAAGGAGAGGTGTACATTGAAAAACTGATGTCTGTACAAAATGAAATAAATATTAACATGCGTGTCTTGTGAGTTATGTATTGTCTTTGTTATACAGCCCCCTCCAGGCCCACCACCAATATATAACAGTATTTCAACCACTGACGGGCAACCGAGCTGAACAATAACAAATAAATAAATAGGGCCTAACAAATCTTAACACAAACGATTCTAAAGTCAAGTGAAAAGGAATAATGAGATATGATTTAATTTTAAGTCTGGTGTCATTGGTACACAGCTCAGCAACCACTCACCCATACCAATTGCGAGGATATTTTGTAGGACAAATTAATAATAGGATGCACAGTGATGTGGCAAATGGCCTTACCTCCTCTTCCCGATGCAGTCTGTCCGATAGTATGTGGGAGATGCCTGTGGCAAATTCTTCCATTGTCGAGCTCATATCAACATTCGTTACAAATACTGCAAGCGGCATGATGACTTCTAGATAAACCAAAACTCAGGTATAAATATAAATACCGTACGAATATATAACGAATACGTGAGAAAATTTGTCTTTCGTCGATGGTATTTATTCTCGCAAGATGGAATGGAAAATCACTGGGTAAATCACTCATCATTTATAGTACTCGTATGTGAGGGAATGCACGTACATTGTACATGCAAACACGGCTCTTGTGTTGTCATACCGTATCGTCACAGCTGATGCGCTGACGTCACGATAGCGTAGTCTTTATTCCAGCACTTATGGATTACTGTTCATCGAAGGGGTTGGAGGGATTTCCGTCTTAAAACGATTTAACATTACTATAATCTGTTTTTAATATTTTTTAATAATTTCATCACTAGCTGAAAAAATATAGATAGTTGATTGGTGTTTTTGACATTTGACTAATGGAGCTGCTTACCTACAACTGCTAAGTCATAAATCATAATTCCTGTAAAAAAGCTAATGTGCTACGTTGTTCTCAGGGACCATCGAGGTCAGGGTATCCTCGAGGTCAGTAGATGTCAAGATCGAAGGCTATCCCTGTTCTCGGGCGGATAGGGAGTGGGGTGGGGTGGTGTCGGTTTTCTGCAAGGAAGGGTAGGGGGAAAATGAATTCCATTTATTTCTTAGATTCTAGGACTTGATTCTCTATTTATTTTTCTCCTTCTTTTTGCCTTTTTTCCAAACATGATTTGTTTTAATTTCATTCAGAAATGGTCTCTCCACACTACTATAATTTAATTTCAAGTCTCAAACGATTATAATGTATTATCCCCACATTGTTCATATTGTATACTATTTCTTCGTGGTTAAAAACATTATTATGTGGAAAATTATAATTTGTATCTTCTGTTTCGAGTGAAAAAATCAAAATAACTGACACAAACAAAGGAAGAATCGATTTAAAAAATGAGCAAAAACACCACACCACACTATAATGTGCTAAACGCAGTCCACACAACTCGTTCAGACCATGTGTATTTCGAATTTCTTCATACTAAAGATAGACTGGGCAAAAACAAATATTGCTTTAAAGGCGAATATCCAAAGAGAGAGAGAGAGAGAGAGAGAGAGAGAGAAACAAACAACAGGCAAAAATAAGAAGAAATTTAAAGGATGAAATAATAATGAGAAGAAGAAGAAGAAGAAGAAGAAGAAGAAGAAGAAGAAGAAGGAGAAGAAGAAGAAGAGGAAGAAGAAGGAGCGGAGGGGAGAAGAAGAAAAAGAGGAGAAGAAGGAGGAGGAGGAGAACACGAAGGAAAAGAAGAAGGGACAATCAGAACTAAACATCCAGCATAAACGGGTTGAGCATAATTATTATGACAGTACAAAAGTTGGAGTAAAGATGTATTTCGCGAGGAAACAGAAAAGTCACTCCACCTTCAATTTCAGATCTTGAAACTTGTTGATCTATCACTTGCCTTGAAGTGCCTGTGACCTCAAATGAACTTGATGTCGCATGTGACCTACATTTTGCTTGACAATCAGCTGCGGTCAAGATTTGTTCTTCGTCGGCGGTCAGCTTTCATCACTCCCCCCCCCCCTCCCCCTCCCAACCACTAAGTTTTGGCCAGCGCGAATGTATAGGCGACGCAAATTTGCAGAACCAAGCAAGGGGTTCTCCTTGGCAGAAACCGCAGAACGTATTATGTCTCGGATTAGCCAAGGTCTCCTTATCAGGGAGATGTCAGTTATCCCTGCAGTCAGGCACGTACGCAGGATTTTTTCAAGGGGGAGGGGGGGGGGGGTTTAACATTTATAGTTCGGGCCGAAAATTTCGCAACGACTCAGCCAGCCACTGAATAAGCGGGGGGGGGGGGGGGGGGGGGGTAAGAGGTAAGAGGTCACTTTTTTTTCTTTTTTTTGGTCCCAAAAAAATCGCAACGACTCAGCCGATCGCTGAATAAGCGGGGGGGGGGGGGGGGGGGGGGGGGGGGAGTGGGTAAGAGGACACTTTAAAAAAAATTTTTGTTTGGTCTCGAAATTTGGAAATTTGACACTTTGCTCCGTGGGGGGGGGGGGGTAAGGTCAGCTTTTTTAGGTCAGCCATGGGATTTTTTTTTTTTTTTAATAAATTTAAAAAAAAAAAAAAAAAAAAAAAAAAATCCAAAGGGGGGGGGGGGGGGGGGGGGTTATGGGGGTTATGGGGGGGGGGGGGTTTACACAAAAAAATACCAAAGGGGGGGGGTTAACCTCCAACCCCCTGTGTACGCGCCTGCCTGCAGTATTGTTGTAAACGATATAGGCCCTACATCTTCGTATCATTTCTCTCGTTTCTCCTGTCTTTATTTATCAATTTCTTCCCTGTCTCCTTCCAACTGCAATCTAACTCCTATTTTCATCTCTATCTCACAATGCTCTCTCATTAACTCTCTCTCTTTCTCTCTTTGTATGATCTTTATCTCTATATCTCTCATCCTCTCTTCGATCACTTCCGCTATTATACCCTATCATACCCTTCTCATTTTCTTCATCATCTACACTCATCATCTACTTGGTTTCTACTATATTGATGGATCATTCTGTTCCATCTATACATGAGGGCTCAGCTGTCTAATGAAGTGTTGGGATGTTATCCAAATTGATTTCCAGTCTTCAAAGCAATCGCAAAAGAGTAGTTTATTATCATTATCATAAAGATTAAAGTCAAGACGCGTTGCGATCGAATAGAACCAATCGCTACCTGTATAGTCTGCGTCTCTGCGAGCTTGTCTTCATTTACATTAACATTAATTTTTTTTTAAATCCATTTATATATTAATGTTGTTTACACAAAATTCACGAAAGCCCTCAAAAGGTCAACAACTTGATATGTGCTGGTTCCATGATGCACTGGCCCGCAATACCTTTCGATGGCCGATGTGCCTCTTCCTCGTTTACCGACGAAATAGCATGTATTGATTTATATTTTGCAATCGTAAATAATCACATTACACGCCCTGTAAGATCATTAAACATTTCAATTGAATAATTTCGAATTACAGAAGAATAATTACAAATACATGTTGATATCTAGTTGATATGGATTTAACCTTTCCCCTTCCCAGGTTAATGAGTACGGTATAAAACAAGGACGTTCATTAGTTTATACAAATAGCATGTAGTATTGTCTGCATACCTCAAGGGCATTTATTGTTTACTAAATGTGTCATAAACAAGCAGTACACCGCCAAACAATTAAAAAAAGTGGGTCATGGGTCATTAACAACCTTTTTGATGAGTATAAAAAACACAGAGCCAGGTAAAAATACCTTGAGTATATAGAAGTACAAATGCAAGAAGTAAACATGTAGCCTATTTATACTTGTTTGCATATAATAATGATAATATTCATTTTTGTTTTAAATGCTGACAAGGTAAACAAAACTCTTGGCATGATTCCTGATATTTCTTTGCAGCACCTCGTCATTAGTGAGCAGAGTCTGACCACAGTCCTCCATCGATACCAATATCCTGACCTGCAGGTATCTTCAAGAGTAAGAAGATTGTAGAATAAAGCAGAAACATCCACTTGTGCATTTTAGAATAATCACTGCCGGAGTAATGGAGGTGCTTCATGAACACCTATTGTTTTCCTCTTGAGAAGAATACTTCCACCTGTGTATCAGATAAATAATGTACTGTTGGTGCATAAATGAATACTGATTACATAACTTTCATGAGCACGATATGCAAGTATTCGTCTCGATGGGTTTTACAATTTGTGAAAATTAATTCGTTTTCACTGGTTGCCTGCCGTAGCAACAAGCAGAGTTGACAAAAGACTTAATTCAGTTTCGTTGACGATCATCCATGCACAAAGAACACGAAAGACTTGATTCTGTCAATGTTTGTTGCTACGGCAGGCAGCCAGTAAAAATGAATTCGTTTAATCAAATAATGGAAATGCAAGCATCACTTTAAACAAACATGATTTTTTTTTTATTCCTGGCTCATTTTTACTGATTGAGGTGTCATATAAAAGGGCACAAAAGGAACTTCTAGAAATGTGATTTTCTCTTTGAAATTCAGAAACCCCCCGCCTGATGACTTTTTGGTACCCTCTCTTCAAATTGTTTTTAATCACTCATGCGTGAAAGATGCATCAGATGAGTTGCATTAAATGAAAGAGGATGATCTAAGCTTTACAAAATGTAATATGTATCATTTATTAATTATAATTGTGTTAAGTAATGATAAAACATCGATAATTCTCGGTTTCGCTTTTTCTGGGACGCACTGTATAGTATGTGCTGTTTTCCACAAATTGAATTACTTTAACTGATTTGTCCAAAATGTACTTAGTAGCATTATATTGATGAGCTATCCTTCAGCTTCCTGTTCAATTTCCAACAATTATTTGTACAATCTAAAAAGTCAAAATTACTCATAAAAAACTTAAAATACTAAAACAAAATAGAAAAAAAAACACCAACGAACAAACAAACAAGAATGCTCTAGAATTGCACCGCTTCCCACTTTTGTGAGACACCGTTTCTTTAATTTTGAAAATCAACCGATAATCAGTAAGTTAAACTTGTATATTAGAGATTAAAATTTAGGACGAACAACGGGTCCTAGTAAGTGTTTATAATAATAGAAAGTAATAGCACGCAAAGTTTGATATATATTTTTTTTAATGTTTTTTTATGAACCAGTTTTGGCATCTTTCTGATATCATATCACTATAGATTCAATTGGTTAGTATATCTATGTAATTAAGTGCAGTGTTTACATTTACAGATGACGGCGATTTGTCAAAGTATCCACGTCAACAAAATAATACACATCATGACGTTCCGGCGTTCAACACCATTTTCCGGCCTATAATCAATGTCTTGAAACGCTTTTAGTTTAAAACAAGGTTGAGTTCAAACATTAATTTTGTTCGAAGATCGTAAATTAAATCGTGATTGAGATGGTCGATTTGAATAGACAGTCTGCTCTGAGGTTGCTGTATTTTGTTGATTCCTCCAAACGTCTTCATTGAGTCGCTCATAGGCCACTCATTATTAGTCATTTTTTATCACATAGTAAGCCTGTACTGGTTCCAATCTCGTCCCTTCCCGGTGTAAGAAAGACCACGTTAAATCTGAAAAATTGTAAGAAAAGAGAAAAGATAATTAATGTCATAACAGTAATACTTTTATCACATAATTAATTCGACTCACTCAGAATCAGAATTTTTCTTTCCCAAATCCATGATGGCGTTTCATTCACAATTCTTGCACAATTTTTCCAAAAAAATGAAAGAAAAAAAAAAGAAAAAGAAAAGAAGGAAAAAAAAAGGATAATTTTTGTTTTACCTCGTCATTATGTCGTCAGTGAGTTTCAATTGAGTCTGCATATAATCTAGAAGTATCTTGTTAGTCGCTCGGCGTCCATCAGTATCTTGTGAGATTGTGTGTTGTATCGTGATTACACAGGCTGGATCATCAGTACCATTCTTAATCATCTCTACACCAGAAAACAGGCTACAATTAATAGCCTTTTGAGAAGAAAATTATGAAGAGAGTGAAAATAAAAGGCACGTTATCGTCAACATATTTTTGTACGGAAAAGAAAAAGATAACATTAAATGCAGGGGAGTAGCATTCTGCTTTTTAGCAGCCATACTTGGGATCATTTCAGTTTGGAGTTGAAGCAGCTCAAAAGTAGTACTTTTAATTTCTCTTTTGGGAGTGGATTCTATTATTTTAGCGTGCATTTCAATGTGAGAAAAGAGTGACTCCCGAAAGAATAGATCGCATTTAAAGTATGAAATGAGAAAAGATGTTCATGGGACAGGGAAACCAGTAACAAACAAGGCTATACTGCTTTCGGCGATATATCGATACAATTATTTTTCACGTAAAGTTTTATTTGTCCGTTCAGGGGTAGTTGCAATGTAGGGAAAGGCCGTGTAACCCGATTATCTGTGAACTCGAGAGAATGCGAAAAGCTCATCCCATGACAACTGCCCCCTTTTGTGGATAGTAACGCCAACAAGACCCACTTCAAGCAGTGTCCAGTTCCAACAGATGATTGTTGACATCTGGCTATATACCAGCAGTACTTGTAAGGAGAATTCCAAAAAGTGCAATCATCTTGATGAGTGCCCCTTTTTCTCGAATTATCCCCAAAAGCTAGCTCGCTACGCCCACTCGCATATAGTTAATGTAATTATGTAACTTATTAAAGGTTTCTTGACAAATGTAGAGAGAGATAGATAATACAATATTGACATCACCCCTAATGATATATTAATTAACCCTATGGTATATACCTATGTTTAAATATTGTGTATTTTCTGTTCCCTTTGTAGGTGCCCCCTTTTTCCAAGAAAGTGCCCTTTTTGTTGGTGCTCCCTCCCCCTTCTTTGAAAGACGCTTCGCGACCCCTGGTTCTATCATGACAATGGCCAGATGACTCTATGCACATAGTCAAGATTTTATCTCAGTACTGACTGGTCAGTCAAAATACTGTCAAAATTTACTGTATGGGTCTTAAATTTCAATCTGCCAGATTACTACCCTGGATGTACTACAGTTCAAAGTTCCTGCTTTCAAAGTCCACTAAATAGGGAGAATACACTATTTCATGATTATGCATATAGCACGTTGCGCTGTATTATAACCAGACAGGGGTGGAAGGGAGTAGACCTATATTTAACAGTCATAAAGGGAAACACATATTTTAGAAGCCATGATGCTTCTTCATCGAGTGCATGCCTTTTGATAAGTTACTGTATTCCAACTATTCGCCCGTTACAAGTAAATTCAAGTAATATTGCACTATCCAAAAGTAAAAAATATGCCGCTGCGTGCAACAATTGATGTTAGTGCTGTTAATATCAGGGCAATACAGTATATACTCTTATACTCATATTCTTACTTTTGGTGGTGAATATATATACACTGTATAGCGTGATACACATTAACATAATGAGTAAATAATCATGTTTTTCCCCACCACATACTGGTAACTTACGAGTTACAACAAATACACGGCGCGGCCACTTGCATAGTGCTGAATAGTAATATTTCTATCTCAGCTAGAAGCAATTAGTCATTTAAAATGTAAAAGGTGACAATATAAACCGTTTATTCTAGGCCTTTTTCAAAACCTAATATAAATGTTTAGCGACTCATACATTCGCCTTACTTTTATTGTACGTTCATGTTCACAGTAAATGAAAGAATTAATCTGAATTATTCATTTTACTCATAATAGATGAAGCAACATAATTATATTTACCTTTTCTTCTCTGCCTACAGCTTCGGAATAAACCTTCGTGAATCCTTTCAGGAAACCCTCTGGTATTAAAGATTTCTGAATGTTAGTGTTTATAACGATCAGTGGCATGATGTCTTTTCAAAGCAAAAAGCTGTCTTTTTGCAAGATAAATAATGGACTATATTATGTACAACGAAAGTAAGACGTATAGAAATACATGCACGCATTCGCCGGGTATACTAAACAGACAGACAGCTATACAGACCTACACTCATTTGTCTGGTTGAGTTTACAATGAAACGTACGATTTAAATCAATGATATAACACGGTTCATGGGTTCGGAAAGCGGAAAGAACTGTTGTGCACGTGCAGTGAATTTTCACCCATCAAACAGAATCCGTTCAGATTGACCTGGGATTACCTGGAGGGCAATGTAATTTGCATATTGATGAGGTGAATCTGGGCATGGCGAAACATTTTCAAGAGCTTGTAAATAGAACTCCATATTGTATTATACTAGGCTTGCGTAATTTCTTTGACTAGAGATACGCAAAATGAATGGGATTCTCAAAATTTTAGTTTTCTCCTCTCCCCCTCTCCCCCTCTCTATCTCTTTCTCTCTCTCTCTCTCTCTCTCTCTCTCTCTCTCTCTCTCAAATTCGAAGTGACAGTTGTTCTATCACCACATCAATGGAATACGATTCTACTAGAAATTGCAGATTGACTAAAGAAATTTTGAAAAAGTTGTAAATGAAAACAATAATAGTACCGCGAAAACTTTGTTTAATTTGTATTTATTTGTATTTATCTTTACCTTATGACTGCTTGAAATGAGACTAGTTCTACCGTGCTGCATGCAAACTTTTTTTCTCGTCTTTGCACTAACTAGACTATATCTGATTATTATGACGCAATCACCCCTTAAAATGTAAGTATTTTTTAGTCATGATGTACTAGCATTAGTATAAATGTTAGAATGCAGTTATATATACCGTTTATTTTATCATTTTGCTGCTTTATATAAACCAATCTAAAGTTATGTAGTCCCAGACGTTGATATCGGTGTCACTGCCGACAAGACGAAGGAATGAATGAGGTACGTAGCGTACACACATAGGAGCATCACTATCCTGGCTGTGTAATAAAAGATGTGCTTTTGATTCTCAACATTTCAAACACCACTGTACAAAACTCAACTGATTTTACTCAAAGTCGGTACTTTAGTGACAATTAATGACACCTAAAAAGCAGTAAAATACATTTTTTTTCAAATTACTGAAGTGATGTTAAAAAGAATAATTTAAAAATTCAAATTGTATTGTAAGTCTAGACGGTCCTAGACCTCTAGCTCTAGTGTCAAAATTGCGGATCAGCCCAATAGGTCCTAATGTGTGCAGTCTATGCAATATTGTGTGGTGTGTATAGGTCTAATAATACCTGCCTCACAGCAAGTATGCAGTGCTTAAGGTCAATACGCATTAGCATTGACTCTCTTAGACCGAAAGCTTCAGTCTCTATAATCGTCGGTTGTTCCACTGAGACTACGTCTGGCTCCACTAGACCTCCGGTTATAGAGACAGAACGACTGCCTATGCCAGCCTGTGTTGAACTTATTCCGCTAGATTTTAGCCGCTAGGCCCCTCCCACAAACTTGCCACGGCCGTATTGTTATGCCCCCAAAATCCCCCAAAATGTCATTTTACCTCGTCTATATCCAATTTTAAATTAGGCCTAGGCTATAATACATCGGTTCCACTTACTAATTTGATGTAAATAATCCGTTTAATGGTCCCTTTTAAGGAAATTATGGGTCAAAATCGACATCCATGTTGAAAATCTTGCAAGCCGTGTTAAACTCTCGTTGCCGTCAATCTCATCCCTTCTAGTCTACGCCGAAGGCAAAATGATTATGAAGGAAAAAACTGTGATAACGCCATTACGAACGTGTAGATGGCGCACAGTTTTTCCTTCATTATCATTTTGCCTTCGGCGTAGACTAGAAGGGATGAGATTGACGGCAGCGAGAGTTTAACGGACGGCTTGCAAGATTTTCAACATGGATGTCGATTTTGACCCATAATTTCCTTAAAAGGGACCATTAAACGGATTATTTACATCAAATTAGTTAGTGGAACCGATGTATTATAGCCTAGGCCTAATTTAAAATTGGATATGGACGAGGTAAAATGACATTTTGGGGGATTTTGGGGGCATAACAATACGGCCGTGGCAAGTTTGTGGGAGGGGCCTAGCGGCTAAAATCTAGCGGAATAAGTTCAACACAGGCTGGCATAGGCAGTCGTTCAGTCTCTATAACCGGAGGTCTAGTGGAGCCAGACGTAGTCTCAGTGGAACAACCGACGGTACTATAGAGACTGAAGCTTTCGGTCTATGACTCTCTATGCTTTGCTGGAGTTAGCCTTAAGGGCTCTCTCGAAATGTTTTTTTAATGATATTATTCGAGAGAGCCTTAAACGGCTCCCATACCCCTGCACGGAGAGGCATGTAAACAAAACTCAAAAGTGGTCCAAAATCACACTTTCGCGCACCCGACCAATATTGGACAGTGGCTTTGATAAATTTTGTCGTAGTTTTGGTCTTAATTACCGCTTTAATTTCAAAATCGGATCTAAAAATAACAAAATAAGAGCAATTTTCTTACCAGACCGATACAGCTCAGCTCCCTTTTCACGTGTACCGTGTGAATTCACGATGTCTACACAATGGTGATGACCTCTGACTGGCACTTCCGTAATTGTGGGTAAATTGTGCTGCTTCCGTATAATGCGCTGTATGAGTGTTATTCAGCGCATTATACGGAAGCAGCACATTTACGAAGTGCTAGTCAGAGGTCATCACCATTGTGTAGACATACCAAGATCTGTTACATAGACCATATTCTTACTCGATGCTTCCAGTACGATGACTATGAGTAGAAAGTAGAAAAAAAAATAACATGAAGACAATGTTCGATCTACCGGTAGTGGTCTATTTTGTAAATGCAAATGTTTCACTTTCAGGAACATTTTGAAATTATTGTTGGGTTTTCTGACATTTTAGATTAAACTTAGGAATTCATGCTTCTTGTATTTGATAATCTTGTAACAGGTTGACTGTTCTGTTGCAGAATATCTGTATAAAAGACTTTGACAGTACATTTCAGCATAATTGTTTTGTCAGTTAATGTTTTCAACTATTCTTAAACTACCCTTATGATTACAGCCTTGCTTGTGGAGATGTCGAAGGAAGATTTTCACAGCTGTTTTCAAGAGTAAGAAATGTTGTGAAGAAAGCAGGTCCATTTGAGGTGAGTAGAAATATATGATTAACAGTTCCCGAAAGAAAATAGTTCTTGACTTCTTGTTTTATTTTGAACTCTAAATCAAGTAAAGTACCCAACATCAAGGCTCCCCCCCCCCCTGTGAAAAGACAACTTACTTAAATTCAGGGATAGGCCTTATTGATATTGTCTTAATTTTTTTTAAATTTGACAAAGGGTCTTCATTTGAGTTCTTCATTGTCTCTTCACCTTTTTCAAACTCAGTGATCAAGCAGAAAGTACCAGCATGTGCAGTATTTTATTTCTTCCTGCTTGTAATACATATATTTTATTAACCGCATATTATGTATGATTAGATTCATCAATGTTCAGTTACAGATAAAGATAAGAGTTGAAATTTATTGTGTCATGAGGTAGACAAAGAGATCAATGTTAGTTTCCTACCATACATCCATTCATTTCTCTTTATGACACCATAATATAGATGCTGCTATGTGTAGGTAACTTCTATGGTACAAGTGAGACTGCTCTGGCCGATTGGAAGATGCTTCAGTCGGGAGACCTCAAAGGTACGTTAGCTTGGACATGCCACTTAACCCATTGGATACTCAATTATCTAATTCCCATAGGCTTAAAACAGCGAACCCCAGGTTCCAGTAAGCAATGGTTTAATCAGTACCAAATTGCATCAATTTGTATGAACAGTGTGCTTATTTCATTGGAACTAGAGAATCAACCATTGAAATATGTTTCACCTTATATATTATTTCAAGTAGATTCTCAAGACATACACTCATGCACACATTGTAGGCTTTCCACCTGTGATTTGGGTACCTGCTCTTGATACACACTCTTGCGACAGCTATTCGATGGTCAGTTTCCTACACTGTTCAATTTTCTAACGTTGATCCTGGACCAAACATTATTATACCCAACCTAACCTTAGTCATTTTGACAAAATAAAAGCCTGGATCAATCCTCACCAGATCATATCGAAGAGCACTGTGACTTGATATGAGTCATATTGCTAATCTTGTTCATGTATGTTTATTTTGTTATTATTATTTTTACCCAGTGCCTCTACCAACCTACATACTGGGACCCAACCATCCAGACCATTCCATCTTCTTTGATAACAAGGAGGGAGGTGACGTATGTGAGAATCTCACTTATCTTGGTAAGAATGCATTGCAGAGTTAAATCAGTTTTTGGTGTTATCAGTGTCAATAATTAAAACAAGGGTCTTGATGGAATAAAGCTTGTTGTATATATGTGGTTTTGCGCGATTTCAAATACCTTCAATCATAGGTGCTTTGTGGAGATTAGCATTTTTGTTAACTTTTCAATATTCAAATTATTCAATTGTTTTACATTATATTTCTGATTACTCAACTAGTGTATAAAGGTTAGTATTGAAATACCTGAAAACCCTTACGTATCTAAAAAAATTAATTTAAGAACTTTACATTAATCTTGATCTAAGGAGACACGAACGAACAATCTGAAGAAAAAAAACATTGTATATTTTATCACTGTGTCTATTTTTGACATTTTTGTCTTATCTAACCATCCATCTGTCTTTCTCTGTTATCTCTTTCTTTCTCTATGTTTCTCTTTTTCTTCACTTGATGATTATCAGTGGCCAATTTGTTCACCCTTTGAAAACTGAGTTCATAAATATTTAGACTGAATCTCAATTGAAGCCATCTTCAATGGGTTAAATGACGATTCATTTCAATTCATGTAAACAAAAATTGAGTGGGAGTATTTGGGTTGAAATTTTATAAAACTGGGAAAAAACTGAGATAAAATATAAAAATTCTTCCCAATTCAGGTAACCGAGGTATTTACTCCACCGCATCAGGACTACAGATAGCATACTTAAGTGGAGTGGAGTCAGGAGGAGGAGCTGATGATGGATGTCACTTTAGCAGAGCAGATATTGATGCTCTAGGCCTGCCCCTCATCTCTAATAGCAAATTCAAAGGTGTAGATGTGCTTCTGACATCGCAATGGCCAGCTAATGTCACACAGTTTACTCGTGATGCAGTAAGTTCTCCCCAAGATCTACAATTACATGAGATAGATAAGTAAGCCAGTAGAAGAATGAAACTCATTATCTCCTCACAGTTGGCTACTCAGAAAGGTCAAATGAAAGAAGTAGTGATTTGATGTCTAGCGCAAGCATCCTGTTTTGCTGCCCCTTAAAATAGTGTCTTCTCACTATGAATATGACGGACAAAGAAAGAGGACAAAATATACAGCTCCTCATTCTACCTTCAACAATTGCTGTGGTAGACAAAGGAACATCCCTGTAAAAAACAGGTGTCACATGCATATTCACCTGTTCTACACGTTTTTACATAATAGCAGTGATTGTTGAGGGTAGAATGAGGAACTGTATATTTTGTCCTCTTTCTTTGTCCGTCATGTTCATAGTGTCTATAAAGTGTTTTCTTGTTAAATAACAGAGACAATTTTACAAATGTGGCTGCTTCTCTCCATAAATGCTAGCCATAAAATTATGTATACTTTTTCGGTGTACATTTTCAACCCTTTTAACCCTTACATGTATAAGCTGCCTTCTTGGGTATACCTTCAAGAGAAAGGGAAATGTCTTCATCCTTGTCCAAATATTGACAAGCTTTCATTTCCTAAACTCTCTTGTTCTTCTGACCCAAGGATTTTTCCACATTGGCAATCGTGAAATGTTACAATAAATGTATACAATTAATGTTTACAAATGTGTAACAGTTTCTGTCTTGTTTTAGTCATGCCAAATATATTCAATTAAAACATGGAATGACAGAGTACATCAAAATATGTATTGGTTTCTTTAATGTGTCTATTATGTAACAGGAAAGCATGAAACCTACACAAACATCCTCACTGATTGGTGACTTAGTGTTGGCCTTGAGACCTCGATACCACTTTGCCGGCTTGCAGGGTGCGTTCTATGAGAGGACACCTTATAGGAATCACAGGATGTTAGCAGAGAGCACCAAACACGTCACAAGATTCCTAGGGCTTGCCAAGGTTGGAAATCCTGACAAGAAAAAGGTACACTAGTTTGACATGTCTCAATTATTCTGTAGAAGTGGGCTATATATTCTGACAATATTACTGTACAGTATGCAGTAGAATTTCGAACCTGGCAGGAGACCAGGGGGGTGTCTCACAAAGATCCTAAGTCAAACTCAACTCTAAGTTGGACTTAAACTTTATGGAGAGCCATTTGTAGCCTTAAAATAAATTATATTCAAAAGCAAAAATTCAAGTACTTTTAGACTTTTCATAAATTCCACATCAAGAACATGGAACCTCCTTGATAATAGAAATATGAATGATTTGAATCAACATCTTATGCCTCATAAGAAAACTTTATATTTTTAAAAATGCTAACCGCTTTCCATAATTGTCAAGTCCAACTTTGAGATATCTCCAACTTAGGAGCTTTGTGAAACACCCCCCAGGGACAGGAGACAAGGAACGTAGTAAGGGCTTTTCACCCCTTTAAAGGTAAAGACCAGTTATGGTCATGCGATTGCATTGTGAAAGAAACGTTGTGGAATCGATCAGAAAAGGTTGATCATCTAGCATCTAGCATGTGCAAGGTTCTGGAATCATCAAAATGATAAGAAATTTGGCCCATTCTTCGTAAAGTTACAAGCACTATACACAGAAAGATGTATATGGGACTACCCTATATCTCTCACAGACCATGTGAGAAACAAATTTACCAAATATATGAATTAGTAGGCGGTTTCCCGGCAAATTTTTTATCATCATGTATTAGTTAAAACATATTCTTTCACATGATTGGTAATGAGAGCTTCCATTTCATTTTTTGAAATTGGGGCGTTTCTAATACTGGTCTTTACCTTTAATATGCGAAACATCCATCCTTATGCCAACCTATCCCACATTATATGTAGAATTACACAAGCCACAACAGCAATTCTACATAGAACAACAAACAAACTGCACAATCAAATGATTGCTTTCTCAGATCAGACGCAATGGAATGTTACCCGGAATGTATGGTTAGATTCTCTGTATTTTGTGTTGATATATCTGTTTATCTCTAGTTTGTGTAGTCCATCGATAGTGTGGATGAAGTGTATGAAGTTATTTCTGTTACCGTTTGATGGCACTTCAATGAGAATCCTTCCCTTGAATATAAGGAGGAGAGACACAAGGGTTACATTGATTAAGTTTGATTTTCTTTCCCCTCCGAGGATTTGAAAATAGTATTTCTTTGTGGCTTTTTCCATTTGGTACAGTAGTAATGATATCAGTATACTGATTTTCTCTTTGTAGTATCTGTATGCATTCAACATCACCCCCATGGGCAAGTTGAGTCAAGTGGAACTGATCAAACAGCCTGATGAAGTCACAGAGTGTCCCTTCACATGGTCAAAGAGAGAGGAACCAAAGGAGGTATTTAAAGGATCTCATGCCAATACTCTACTAAAATTTTAACCCGATGCTGGGCGTAAGTTTTGGAAATGAGTCTAGTTTTAACAAAGAATGTTTGTGTTTTCCCTTTGTTGAACATGATCCTTTATCCAGTGTCGGGTTTAACTGAATTAGTAGAATACAGTGTTCAGCAGATTATTGGTAGCATCATTTTACAGTCAATACCACACTAAATTATAATGCCTTAATGGGTGGCCCTGAATAAGTTTTTTTTTATAGGACATAATGGTTGTGATAAAATGCTCTTTTGCTCTACTTGATTATTGGGGAGTAAAGCTGATGAGAACATTCAGTTACATTTATCTTTTTTGTAAATAAGCTTCTCGTAGAGGTGTCGTGGTCGAGTGGATATGTCACTGGACTGTCGATCACAAGGTCCGCGGTTCGAGTCCTGCCGCGGCACTAATGTCCTTTGGCAAGACATTGATCTACATTTGCCACACTCAACCCAGGCGATGTAAATGGGTACCTGGCAGGAATTAATTCCTTGCAATGCTAGAGCGCCATATGGCAGCCGTGCTAAAGCCAGGGTAATAATCGGGAGCGCCAGAAGTGTCAAGTCTGACAGTCATGAGCACTATACAAGAACCCACTATTATTATTATTATTATTATTAATATTAAATATGAAAGCCCATTTTATGGGTCAGGTGAATTTTGTTTGAAATATATTTAAAGGATGATTGAAGAGAGAATAGATTTGCCATTCTGATCTAAAGGTGAGATTACCTATGAGCTCCTTTCAAATAAACGAGAAAATATAGTAATCATTTAGTAAATGTGTATACATGTATGATACATTTACAGGCAGAACTTGTTCATCTGAAATGAATATGTTTGCTATTTTACTTGATTTCTAAAAGAATGATAATGAGGAAAATCACAGCACATCTAGAAACGTCATTAAATTATTAAAAGTATTGGTAAGAAATGATTAGCTGTACCATTTTATAGTGTGGAGTCCTCTTTCACGATATCATTCTCTCCATCCAGACGGACCAGTTCTTCTTTTCAAAAGGAAATCCATATAAACAAGGTCAGAGAGGTCAGAAGAGACATGGTGGCAATAGATCAGATAATCAGAGGCAATATGACGGTCAAGGACAACATGATGGTCAGAGACAACATGACGGCCAGAGACAACATGATGGTCAGAGACAACATAAAATGCCAATAAAGAGTCATCGTGAGTCATGGTTTATGAAATATATACATGTATATAGTCTTAAAATGGTATAGAGGAAATGAATTAATCTATGTGAGGATAAGAATGCGTTTGTCCAGACTACCAGTAACTCATACATTTTAATTGTAGACCAGTTTGAAGGCTTTAATTGATATAGAGTTGAATCTTAAAGAAGTTTGTTCTTAGGGTCAAAGGCTGTTATGATGCATCAACAGAACACATTCTTATCAAATCCATAACTTTGATCAATACTACGTTTAAATTTGTCAAATACTTAGATAAAAAAATCAGGATTTCACCATAAGAAAAACAGGTTTTAAGAATATCATATTTTTTCAAATGGTTAATATTACTTTATTTGTTTACTGTCCAGGCAAGGGTTATTAGATATTAATTAGACACTATGAACATGACGGACAAAGAAAGCGGACAAAATATACAGTTCCTCATTCTACCCTCAACAATTGCTGTGGTAGACAAAGGAACATCCCTTCACTGCTATTATGTAAAAATGAGTAGGACAGGTGTCACATGCATATTCACCTGTTCTACACATTTTTACATAATAGCAGTGAAGGGATGTTCCTTTGTCTACCAAAACAATTGTTGAGGGTAGAATGATGAACTGTATATTTTGTCCGCTTTCTTTGTCCGCCATATTTAAAGTGAGAGCTTTGTAATCCATTTCTTTTTTTACTTATCGTAACAAGTCAATAATGTGTTCACATTGTTTTTATTTCTCTCTTGCAGCTCAGCCTACAGGTCCATGCTGGTTCTGTTTAGGAAGTCCAAAGGTTGAGAAGCATCTGGTTGCTAGCATCGGTACATCGGTGAGGCCTGCTAATGAACTGAACTGATTATAAAACAATTGCACTGATGTAGAAAGACATCAAATTGATCAGTTGTATCACTCCTAAAACTAGCTTTTTGAATTTGAGAGTTAGTTGTTCCTTTTATGACTTTCTGAAAGGTGGATTTGTATTTGTTAATGTTTCAAATACAGTCAAACCTGTCTACAGCAACCACCCAAGGGAAACACAAAAAGTGGCCTTTGTAGACAGATGGTCTTTGTAGACAGGATCCTTTAGTACATGATTCAATGAGAAACCATTTTCAAGGGAAACAACAAATATGGCCTTTGTAGACAGGTGGTCTTTGTAGACAGGTGGTCACTAAAGCAGGTTTGACTGTACAATTGACTGCACTCTTTGTACATCAGGGCCAAGAAGTATGGTGTTATTAGAAAGCTGACTGAGTTTGGTTATTGCATTTTGAATTATTTATAGTTTAAAGAAATATTATATCATCTACAATTTTCAGTGGAACGAAGGATAAAAATGATACAAGAGACCCAGGTGTTCTCTATTTATTACTAGCATACTTTTGTATTGCTAAATAATTGAATAATTGCCCTTCTATTAAGAAATTACCATTTAAATGCTTCATTCACATTTGTTATACTAGTTTGTTGGAAAATGTTAAACTGTCTTTGTAATTCCTTGATTGTAATGATGAAAACTGTTCCAATAGTAGGGGACCTCCCTTTTCTTGTAGATCCTGTTTGTGAACTTATAATTTAAGTTCAAGTTTAAGTTTTATTTTAATTCAAATCCATAAAAACACAGTTTATGAAAGTATAAAATACAGCTAATATACAATATGGAAAACAGAGAACACTCACAAAATGGAAACATGTTTACAAATATACCAGAATTATAAACAGTTTATCAATAGAAATGAATTGGGGTAACTGTAAATATTCATCTTATTAATCATCTTATTAATGAATTGGGGTATTACTGCAGATAATCATGTTATTAATTTTCACTTGTGTTTTCTTTCTCTTCCATGCAGTGTTACTTGGCTTTGGCAAAGGGAGGACTTGTTCCTGATCACACTTTGATTCTCCCTGTTGGGCACTACCAGTCCATGTTAGATCTCACTGAGGTGAAATTGTATTTCTATATTAGTTTTTTTTTTCTTTCTTCATCCACACACAATTTTCCAAAGATTGAAAAATTTAATGATGACATTTTGAAGAGCCCATTGAATGATGATGATGATGATGATGACATAGAGAAGATGACGATGACGGTGTTGACGGCGATGACAACAACGACAATGCTGATGATGGGGATGGTGATGGTGATGATGACGATGATGATGATGATGAATACTAATGATGCTATAGAACTCATATCCACATGCAAAATTCTCATGGCACTCAAATATTTTTAGAGCTCTAGCCAAGGGTGCTCACAGTAGTTCCTGTAGTTTACTTTGTGATTTGATGGTATCTGTTACAAGTATGCCTCATTCATAATAGTTCTAATATTCATTCTAATTATGTCTTTTACAGGAAGTACAAACAGAACTAGATCAATTCAAGTCAGCCTTGAGGAAGTACTACCTATCCAAAGGGAAGACATGTGTCATCTATGAAAGGAATTTCAGAACACAACATCTGCAGCTTCAGGTATGATCAAGTGGGGAAATAAATTTGTCTTTCATGTGTCATGCTGTGTAGAATTGCTGATGAAATGGAAAGAGGATACTTGATCACCAGTATTAAATTGTCACATCTTAACTACCCTCCCCCCCCCCAAACAAAAAAAAGGGAGAATCGTTATTGCCAAGCTAAGTCAACCAGTTGAAAGCAAGCCACATTCCTTATTTGATATTTACATAAAAGAATGTGTTGACTTTTAAACACGGTTCTAACCTATTGCATAGTATTACCAGTATACTTAATTGTTGTCAAGTATCACATCTGACAAAATATTTGAAAAAATAAACAGTTGAATTTTTATCCAAAATATATGTTTGAACTATCTGAAGATTTGGTCTATGAAACAAATATACATGTATATCAACAATACATTGCTAAACATCAAGCCAATCATATTTAATGACGTCTTATTTTGTGTGAGGGAATGTTATCTTACCGTAGTTTGTTTTTATAATCGTCATACAGGTCATTCCAGTAGACAAATCCAAGGCAGATGACATCAAAGAGGTTTTCTTTAGGGTAGCAGAGGAGCACAAACTAGACTTAGCTGAGATACCCCAGCATACAGACCTCAAACAGGTACCTAGAGGGATTATACAGTGAAACCTGTACATAACGACCACTCAACATGAAAAGTGGTCTTTATAGGCAGGTAGTCTTTATGTACAGGTTTCATTGAGAAACCATATTCAAGGGAAACAAAAATGTGGTCTTTATAGACAGATGGTATTTCTATACAGGTGGCCGCTATATCAGGTTTGAATGTAGCATTACAAGCACAATCCAGTCATACTCTTCTATACATGATAACATTAATAACCACAACCATGGATATAAAGCTGATATTGTGTTAAAGATAAAGGTGAGTTCTGGTAAAAAATAGAAAATGAATTCTCAGAGGATCAAACGAAACTTACACAGAATGTTCAAGATTACAAATGAATGTCATTTGCTGAAAAATGTTGGTAGAAAATGTTTACTGGCTGAGTAATGAGCATAGAAAGATAAGGAAATCAAGGTTAGTAGACCCAACACCATTTGTGTAGTTCCATATACATCTTTCTGTGTACAGTGCTTGTTACTTTACCAAGACTGGGCCAAATTTATTATGATTTTGACGACTTTTGATACACCAATACTTACATGCTACGTGATCAACTTTTTCTGATCCATTCCACACCTTTTCTTTCACAATGCAATAGGATGACCAGAACTCAAGTTTATCTTTAATGTGTGAAACAAGTCTTTGTCTTTCAGATATGTATGGACCAACTGTGCTTTATTGTTATCATTAATGTTTTTCATTGCAGATATTATCTGTTGGGTCACCTTACTTCTATGCAGAGCTGAATGATGGTGAGAAGATCCTGCACAAAATCAAGAAGTTCTTTCCTCTACAGTTTGGCAGGTAGAGTTATATATTTGTATTTATTTTAGTTATAGTATTCTACTAAACCAGGTTAGTTTTTGTCACTGGGATTAGTCAAACCTTTAAGGGGGTGTAGCATGGCAAATACTGGTCAACGCGATCTATGACTTCTTTTGGACAACTGCACATAAACGAATGGACTTGATTAACGGTCAGCGCCCGTTAGCCTTCGCGGAAAGACCGAAGTTCTCCTCATGGTTCAGTTTCAAGTATGTTGCACGCATGTGAATACTGCGGTCGCGTCGTCCGTAATTGTATTATACCCGTTTGGCCCCCGAGTCAGGCCATGGGAAAGACACATAGTCTCGTCATTCTTTACCCCCTTTAAGATATGTTTGATAACTTGTAAAACACAACTCAAAACAAGACAAAACATTACAAAACTAGAGGCCTAGCTCCCTTGTTGCTTTAAATCAGCAATTTTCTTGTCCTGTTCTGCAATGATCAACAGTGAAGTGGGTTATGATGCTATTTATGATATATTTTTGCATGGTGACGTACTTGATTTTTCCAGAATACTATCCAAATAATTGCCTTGAACATTTGATGCTTACTGGAAACCAGTTACTGTGTAAAATTTATGAAATCACATGTACACCATTATAAACATTGTCATCATTTTGTATACCATGGTTCCAATTTATAGTTCATAACTTCGTCATTATTTCATTCATGTATGGATGACTGCGTCATTACACAAGAAAATTAAAGGAACAGGAAAGTCTGATGCACATTATTATTGTCAATAATCTTAGTAATTTTGTTTACCGGTACTATCTTTTGTTTTAGGGAGGTTATGGCTGCAGCAGAATTACTGGACCTGCCAGAGAGGGTGAACTGGAAGAATTGTAGCACCAGTAAGGAAGAGGAGGGTCAATTAGTCTCAACATTCAGAGACCAGTTTGAGCCATTTGACTTCAATCTGTGAGACACCCCTATGATGTTTCAAGGATTCTATGTGGTCCTGAAGTTGAGGATTTTTCATCTGTTCAGTGATCAATGATGCCAGTTTTCAGGCTTTGCCCTGATTTTCAGCCCTGGAAACCCCAAACAATTCAGGCCTTATAACATACTACATGTATAGGGATCTAACATACCGTACAATGGTCATGCGATTGCATTGTGAAAGAAACATTGTGGGATCGCTCAGAAAAGGTTGATCATCTAACATATAAGTATTGGTGTGTACTGCAAGGTTCTGGAATCATCAGAATGATAAGAAATTGGCACAGTCTTGGTAAAGTTACAAGCACTGTATTCGGAAAGATGTATGTGGTACTACACAAACATGTGGCGTAAAAATCTGTCCCGATTGTTATGTTTTAACACGCCATATTTAGAATATTAAGGCATTTGAAGAGCTATGCGTTCCAGGAAACATTTTTAATCTGATGTTCTTCCACACTTGCATAATAACAATGATGCTGACAAATTATTTGTCACCTCTTCCCAGAACTCAACCTTCTCTTTAAATCGAATAGTATCCCCAACTGATGAAGCAAGTATCGGTACACCCGAGGAATACCAGTCAACTACAAGACAAATTGCACATGCTCTCAGAATGAGTTCTGAATGAACTTTACACATATTTTGATAGGTGAATGGACCGTGGTCATGCCATATCCAAACTTGTATGGGCCATTAACCAGCCGACTCCTGAATTCTCTCATTGCCATAGGGTTTACATAGGGGTCACCCGGTTCCAGCAGGCAATGAGTTAACACAATATATACTGCCTGTCACTCTGTTGTTCATACAATCACCCATTACAACAAGCATGGCAATATGATATGAAGGTAGGCATTCTGCTCTTCACTTACAGAAATTCAGGATCTAATGTAAGATGATGAAATGATGATGTTTTTATTTGGATGTCAGAAACACTTTTCATTAAAAAAGGAATTGTTCATGTATTATATTAGGAAACAGATAACATTGTGCTGAAAAACTGCAATTGATACAATATCATTCAGATTTTACACTATTCGTCTATTTAATGATTTTGTTTGGTCAAATACAGGAAAGGGATTGTGCTGAAATAACGATGTGTCTCTTCTCCAATAGAATAATGAAAAGCTCCTTATAAAATCAAGGTGGATTCAAGACATTTGAGTATTTACTCAATATCCATATAAGTGGTTCCTTTATCTAGTCTAGGGAACAATATTTTTCAGTTGTCATTGGGTACCAAAAGAATTTATCATGGCAAAAAAGAACAAGGGATTCGAAATCATGAAATAGGGATTCAATCAGTTTTTACAGTAATTACCTGTATATTGTCTGATAATTTTCTCAGTCATATTTTTATCAAACATCTTGGTAGTAATACTGTATCTGTACTGGAAGTGAAAATACATTTGCAGTGGAAGCTAGTTATGAGGACATCGAGACCACGTAAATTACTTAATCAGGTATCTTGTTATGTCGGTGTAAAGATACTAAAGAATTTAAGGAGATTGGATCCGCAAAATCACCTTATGTCGGGTATCTTGATATATCAGAAGTCTTTATAACAATTTTCAACTGGACATGTACACAAAAATGTTGTCCATTATATCAAAGATGTTGCGTTAACAATATCTTTAAAAAAAAATGTCTTGATTATTGTCAGCTTGATGCTTGAGAAAACGTGCCAAGAGCTGATTGGATCACGTTTCATTCCACTTCAGCACTGGAAATTATTTAAAACAAAAGAAGGCAAGTTATTCAAACATAAGACACAGAGGCATTTCCTTGTTTGTTTTGCAAGTGATACAGTTGCTGTTTGCTTTTCATTCGAACAGAGTACCATGCAGTATCATAAACTGTTTTCTCTATCCTATAAGTTTTCAAATACTTGTGCCATCAAGAAAAAGAGCTACCACTGCTTAAAATTAAAATAAGCATGTGTATTGTCTGAAAATGATCAGTGGTAGTACAGCACTGCGTTAGGTGCAAGGAATATGGCTCATGATGTAGCAAGATATTTTGAATTTTGTCATGTTTTTTTAAGCTTGTCATACATTTTATATTATGTACAGTATTAAATTATGAATTTGAGGATAAAACCAGAATGAGAATTTGTTTGTGACTTTAGTCTCTTCAGTATAGCAAAGTAGTTTCAAATATGAAGAGTTTGATGATTAGAAGAATAAAAGTGTAAGGGTGTGTTGATGTATGTGTGTGAGTGCGGGATTGTATACATCTTCATGCCCCTTTTCAACTAATTTACTCTTTATCAACATGTCCTTGGTTTTGGCTTCACAGCATTCATGACGCTATCAACCTCACTTTATGATGCCCCCTTTACTTTTCAATTCACAACTTTCCAATTAACATTGCTCTCACACTTATGGCCTCTCATCAGTCTCCATCCTCTCTTACTCTATTGCAATTCTCGTTTATCATCTAATCGAAAAAGATAATGTGTACTTAGAATAATTAAGAGAAGACAGATATCAGTTATTTGAGCTAACTTTTCACAGGGTATAAGTGCACTGCATCCATACCCTGTGGTGGCTATTTATTTCAGTTGATGCATTTCATTACCCTTCATCAACAAAAGAGCGATACACAAACATGTCGCTCAAATACAGTACTCGTGGTTTCATCATTCTGCACATGAGCGACACTTAAGATGCATAGACATAAACTGAAGACACCACAGAATTACTTATATAGATGCCTTCAAATTTTAAAACTTATAAAGAACATTTGTATGAATTCAGATCTCACATGCAGACCAGTGCTGATATCTTAAGAGTTTCTTAAAATGCCCCCAAAGGTGGAACAGGCAAGGTAAAGGGGGGGGGGGGGGGAGGGAGGGGAGATGTTGCTATATTAGAATATCTACCTCTTGGACTATCACATCCAAGTATTATCAGCAAGACAATAAGACACAAATAGACCCTCACTTTCCAATGTTTCACAGGAATGTTTAGCAAAAAAAAATCACTGAAGTAAATATCCCTGCACAGAAGAACAGTTCATGAGCGAGACTCGGTGAAATAACTAATTAACTGCAACACATGTATCCAGTCATCCGAACCCTACATTGGCTCTTAATTCCCCAACGTATCCAATTCAAGATCCTTCTCCTCACGTTCAACATCATCCATCATCATGCTCCATCATACCTGATTGAACTGATCTCACCCAAACAGACTACCAGCATGAACCTTCCATCATCATCCAGACCCCAGCTCGCACTTGGTCCTCGAACCCACAACCGCTATGGTAACAGGGCCTTCTCAGTCTGTGCCCCCACTCTTTGGAACACTCTCCCCGCCCATATCCAGGACTCACCCACCGTTGACATTTTCAAAAAGAATCTAGGAATTCATCTATTCCAAAAGCAACCCAAATAACTCTAAATTAAGTTCAAATAAATATTACCATGCCTTGTTTGATCTTCTTGGTAATTTAAGTAATGTTAATTTGTTAAGTTATGTTATTAATATTTGATCTTCTTGTTAATTTAAGTAATGATAATTTGTTAAGTTATGTTAGTAATATTTTGTTTTCTTGGTAATTTGATTAATGCTAATTCCATTAATAATATTGATTTTTTTTTGTTGGAAGTAATTTTGATTTGTGTACATGTACAGCGCTTTGAAACTTTTGTCACAAGCGCTATATAAATTTTTCATATTATTATTTATTATTATGGGCCTAAAATGATTAAACTATCAGATTTATATTCCATTTGAAAACCTCAATTGAATGTCTTACATAAATTTGCAATTTTTACGTCATAAACCTGAGATATCTTAAACACATATATATATGGGACTACATGTTGTAATAGTTTTATACTTGGTCAGGACGTTAAACAAGATTTACAGATTCTTCTTTGTTCATTTCCTTGATTATCACAAATTTTCCACCAAATCATTTGGGAGATATCATTTATTTCTAAACTTGGATATTCATTATATATTTGTTTTGATTCTAGGGAAATTTGTTTTCTGTCTTTACCAGGACTTTCACATTTCTTCTTAAAGAGACTATCAAGTGAACTTTCTTTTCTACAAAACAATTATCCTTGTACTGTGCCTCCTTTGATATTTAGACTTTTACATATTCTATATAAACAAAAACATTACAAATAATTGTTGAAACATGTAAGATTCAGAATATCTAATTGAAAACATATTTAGGAGTTGAAGATGATCACTATTATTCATGTAACTTAATAAAACTAAAATTACAGAATATTCAATATATGTTTAATAAATGAATACCAATTTAGAACTCTCAGCAAAACTGATACGCATATTGCATGCCAACCAATCCTTTACAGTTTCGGGTTACTGCATAAATATAAAATCAGGTTAAAATTAATCTGAAATTTTTCAAGTGAAGCACTCAGCCAAGAAGCCCAGGAACAATTTCCAAAGGCTGGACACAAGAATTATTTCTTAACTATATACAAAGTGATATCACAAAATGAAATATCTTTTTCTCTATGAAAGAATATTGACAATTAAAATAATAAATGTGCATATCCATCCATATCGAATACTGGATGGACAATGGTACACTAATCTCAAGACACATATATAAAATGTTCAATATAACAGCAATATTTAGACATATCGTCTTACAATAGTCAAGTCATTTGAGTTCCTTTAGAAGGCCTATATAAAGATGTGCTCATAACAAGCTTTAGATCTACATACCTATATATATAGCTAGATGTATACAACATTTTTGTTATTGCTTATTTGTTTTACTAAGGACATCCTGAATGTCCTTCCAACAGTCGATCAAACAAGCCACAAAGTCGCTCGCGTTTAACGAATCTGGATACGAAGTGATGTTGCATCCCACAGAATCATCCAAGGCAGTATAGCCGATGCCCAGACCGTTGGGGACGACGGGAGCAAAGCCTCCAGCCAAGACGGCAGGAGCAGAAAGGGTACTGGTAGAGAGGATGATGTGGTTGATGAAGCTATAGGCTGGATCAGCAAAGATGGCGGGTGTCTTGCCTTCCTTGGCCGCTAGTGTACGCAGAGCAAAGAGATGCCTGTCCCATCCTTGTCCTGCAAAAAAGAACAGAAGCATCGCACAAAACAGACATTGCTTTATTTTAGGCCATTTGATACTACCTAACACACCATCATTTGGAACCTTCATAGGTGTTAAAGGGATCCGGTAACTTTGTCTCAGATTCTGAAAAAAAATCCTTGATTTAGCTCATGCTGCTATGATAATTATACACCTTTAGGTCAGTGACTTTTACAAGCTGATCGCCTGTCTGATAATCAAGATATTAATGATTGGAAATTGAAATCAAATTTTGCGTTTTCCTAACGGTTTTCAAAACACTACAGTCTATTTGGAAAATGAGTATGGTAAAACCGATCACTCAAAGATTTTTACTTTTTTGAGGCACTTCTTGATCATTTTAAAGCGAATTTTTTTTAGGGCTTCAATATTACACCATATTACAGACACTGATTATACGTAGGACCCTGCATCTCAGATTTAACATTGTTAAATGATGCCTTTAAAAGGGGAACAGCATTAGGAATTAAAATTTGAGTGCAAAACCAAGATGAAAGATTAAATACAGGGGATAAAATATAAGTGAAATCAAGGTGGCATTGCCACTTCACTAGGAGGACAAATATGAAAGATGGAAAGTAACAGTATATAAGACTAGATACCCAAATGTCAAATCAAACACAGATCAGAGGCATACAATGGTAGAGATAGATGGATAGAGGAATTGATGGATGGATAGCTAGATGGATGGATAGAAGGATTTATGGATGGTTGAATGATTTGATGGATAATGTATCAAGTACAGGAATGTTACATTGACCAGAATACCATAAGATTTGAGATAGATAGATAGATCACAAGTTTCATGTTTAGGAAATGGAATTTAGTTTGACAGGCATCTTGATGAATTTGACAGGACTTCTCATCGTTCTCATGCAATAAACCAGACAAATACTTCTAACGATAGAATTGTAGGAGTGTCGTGGTCGAGTGGTTTAAGGCGCTTGACTGGAGATGCGAAGGTCGAGGGTTCGAATCCCGACACGGCACTAATATCCTTTGGCAAGATATTAACCTGCACTTGCTACTCTCCACCCAGGTGTTAAATGGGTACCCGGAAGGATGCGACCGTCATTGTTGGTCAAACAGTTTTTGAGCGTCATGTAATGCCTGGCTGAAATGCTCCCCAGGGAGTGGAGATTGTGCACACAGTGTGTGCGGGCAAGCACTGAATCCATGACCGGGGTAATAGTATATTTGTAAAGCGCTTAGAGACATTTGTAATAAGCGCTAAATAAACATTAAATATTATTATTATTATTGTAATGTACTTTATAAGAAATGTAGCTCTGACTGACCCATTGCAGCTTCCTTAGTGAGTTGGTTATGTATATCAGAACATTCCTGCAGCAGTCTTCTCTTCTCTTCCAGGCTGGCTGAGGAATCCTTCAGGAAGGCCTGAGAACATCTAGTGGTTTCCTGTGTAGCAGACCGAAGGGTTTCTGTTCTCCCATGCTTGAAGGCTGCCGTGCTACAAGATTCATAGGTAGCACCGACTTGTCCCGTCATTCTCAAGTATGCCATCTGGTGTACCAAAACAATGCAAACAATCAGTTACATATCTGCATACGTGTACGCGCTATCTTTGACTCTTAATCTGCATTCACCACTAATGATAAGCTATTTACCCATTGATGACAAAATTATTTCATTATACAACCCTATTTCATTATGGGACATATGAGAATTATACCAATTTTTTATGTACATGCAAATTATCTGAAAGACATTGGTATGAATTGAAATATGAAACTTACAGCATGGTCAAATGGATAATACAAAAACAAAATGATGTAATCTTTAGGTTTATAAAGTATTTCATAATAACAATCAATCAATATATTAATTACTACATTCTTCTTCTGATGATGATGATGATCTTCCAAGGGCTAAGCAGCCTATCCCGAAGATGAACTAAAGATTACAAGCAGTGTGAGGAAGACACTTGATTTTTCAATAGGATAAGGGATTAGATGCATCAGGAATAATTTCTGGAAGTTTCCTGGACTGCCAGCATGCACTACATTTGCTATAAGGCTGTTCCATTCAAAGACGTTTAAATATAATTACTAGACGGAAAGCAGCACGCGCGGAAACCATGCAGACGAATGGGATTAGGCTCCGCCTCTTTTGGATCATTTGAAGACAAAATAAGCACCCGAGGCGGCTTTCTGATTGGATAACAGCCTCATGAATATGTATTTTATCGATAGTATCGTTTAAGAAACCGGATAATATATTTGACCTCATTGCGTCACTTTAATTATGCAGATTTATGCACGACGCTACTACACTCGCACAAACTGAGAAGAGTTAGTTCATTGAGAATGGGTGAGTAATTGATTGAAATATGAGTAGATTAAGTGAGTTTAGTCATCATTTTGAAAAAGCTGCAATAGTCTTCGTGATGTACGGTAATTTCGTTACATTTGGAGACAGTTCTCAACAGATTTTTGGGGGAAAGACTAGTTAAATATTGCTCTTGAAATTGCACTTTGATTTTCATCGTCATGAAGTAGTTTGACTGCGGTTTGCCGTTATTTCACCCTAGTACTCCAGTTAGGGCCCCGGCGTTCCGGCAGGCCCACCCCGGGGAATTTCGGTGCTCATTTTGCATCAAGATCAAACTTTCTAATCAAGTTTTATTTCAGATTTGATCGTCATCATGAATCTAATTCACCAATCATCGATTTAATTTAAATCTAGATTTAACGTTTCACACCATATTAAAATTAAGGCCAACCATGACATGAAAAATAGCTTTTATGCTAGATCTATATTGATTTTGTTTTCTTTTTGTTTCAACAGATTGAAACTGATGAAGAGCTGGAAGGAGTTAACTGATGAGTAGACATTACAACATTTCTTATATTTGCAAGATGAAGCTGAAAGTCCCATGCAGGTAAAATTTTCAGGATATTTAGCACACAAATATTAAACGACCACCTATCAATTCACTAAAAAGGAAATGGAACTAAGTTTATGTTGCAAGTGTATATAGTGGAAGGGATATTTTATTCTAGTTCTTCCCTTTCTTTGTTTACAAAGGGATTTTTCCTTATTTACAGGAGGTCCTGTGTGTACAGAACGATGTCTAATGCACATTCAAAGCACTACATAATAATAATAATGATCATACATGTAGGGTATACACAGGACCCCTCATTACTTTTTGTTTGTAAGTGGTCCTTTCACTTCTTGAGCAATGAAGATGAAGAAGAACACAACATAAGATTAATGAAAGTCTGTTTATAGGATGTATTATGGTTGATATGTATCTATTATTATCACTTTTAATTGAAGTACCTACATTGTTTTCTCTTATGCAGGATGATGCTTCTCTACAGTGGATGATGAAGGCATGCTGATTACAAACCCAGGAGAGGAACAAAGAACAGATATTGACAGAAGCATATCTAGAGATGCGGGCCTACTACACTTCATACGAGCAAGTGTGCTAATATACAATGTAGGTACCCCCAATAACCTATTGTAGAACACATATCATGCAGAAAGTTATAGATCTGAAAAACATATTTTTCATTGTCCGTTACTTGTAAAAGAATACTTGACTGAATATCACAATTGTGATTTAGATTTAAAATAAAATGTTGATATAGATGAAATATAAGTCTACATTACGTATGTTTTAATATCATTATTTCCAGTACATTCTCTGGTCCAAGTTGTGTGGTCATTTTATGTCCCATACTTAACCGAGTATTATTCAATTTTGAGCACAAGTTCACAATACAAGTACATTGTACACGTATTACTTATTTCATACCTTGTCTGATCCAAGCTCCAGCAGGCCTATCGTCTTAATGGGATCATCAGAAATAATCTAACATGTGGTCAGTAACTAGTCTTGTAGGTAAAATAGTTTAGGTTTGCCCACTAGAATCCCAAGTGAATATTAGTCCTTCCTCTTTTTGTCAGAGCAGGTATCAGGGTGTATGTTATTAGTTGTTGTTTATTTTCTTATACACTGTATCTTATTTCATTTTTCCATTCAACAGACTTGGGTTATCATCACAGCCCTTTCTTCTGAAAACTAGCCTACAACTTCATCGATGAATGCAGAAGACATCTACATGGGACTACGTCTTAAAGATGCAACCCTCATATAATGAAAGAGGACATTAGAGATGGGTTTAAACTTGAATATTTACATACTATTTATTTATTATTTGTATTATATATTTGTAGAATACCACATTTAGAAAAAGCTAATGAATTTATCATCTTGTCAACTTTCAAATATTTAAAGATAACTAATCATCAATGAATAAACATTAACATTTTAACAATGTCAACTACCATCTTATAGGATGAAACTGAGGGCTGGGCAGAAAGAAATTTCCTTGAAATTTGAGTGATAAAGATCTATCAGTCTATATCAAAGATTGAATTAATCAATGATATTTTAATTATAATTATACATGTTGAAATTCATTTACCTCAGTCTATGGACTTCTGTATTTGAAGTTTTGTAGATTATTACATTATTGCTGCTTCAAGTATTGTATGTAAGAAGGTTTGAAAGACAACCCTCTAAATGCACTAAATATGGAAACTGCTAATCATCATTGCCTTTTGTATCCAAACTGCTAATTTTAATAGAATCATGTTTTGATACTTCCTAGCTTAAGAAAACGGGGGGGGGGGGGGGGGGGGGGGGGGGGGGGGGGGGGCTCGTTATCCTCTTCCTGGTGCTGTTTCTACATGGACCATGTAACAGGTTGCAAAAGTGTAAACAATATTATATTTGTTATATGTTTATATTAGAAGGATTTAGAAAATGAAAACGTTTTGAATTATAGAATTACTGTTGCTAGAAGTAAGGCCAAAAAAAAAAAAATCATTTGGTTGTCCTCGACCGCCCGCTCGTCATTTTCGGGCCGCTCGTATTTTTTTAAATTTTTTTTTTAATTCAATATTTTTTTTTTTTTTTTTTTTTTTTTTTTAATTTTTTTTTTTTAAATGTATATAATTTTTTGGGGGGAGCAATTTTAAATGCCAAACATACCATTTTATGCATTTGCAAGGATCAAAATGCGTCCCGTTGCCAGTTTTGTCTTTTCAGTACGCAATTAGGTATTTATTAAACTTGGCATTTTTATTTTTCTATGTCAAAATGCCGTTCATTCAAATCAGGTTCTGAGCATTCTTAAACTCATTTTAAAGCCCATCTGTACTAGTCTACAGGAGAGATTAGATCACCCTGCAAGGTCACTGGACAGGTGGTTATCTCATCAAATCAGCTCTCAGTTAATTTAAGATAAAGAGGATCATGGGAGACCAAATGGTCACTGATTAGGCATTGTTTGCTACATAGAGGGCGCAAGTAGCTATAAGTAGTACAACAGAGATTTAAAAGGTGCTGTATTTCAAAGCCCAAAATACTTTCTGTGTTGGTCTTGATATTCATTGTACATTAAGCTAGTATTTTACCATATTAAAGTGTTTTATAGACTTTGTTTGTTTAATGCTTGAAAATCCCAATGAATTTTTTTTTTTTTTTATGGAAAAAACATATTTTTAAAAAAAAAATGAGGGAAAAAAAAAAAAAAAAAAAAAAAAGACACACAAAAAATGAAGTTAAAATTTAAAAAAAATCCGCCCGCCCGCCCCTACTCCAGAAAAGCAATCGAGGACAACCAAACAATTTTTTTTTTTGGCCTAATGGCAGTATTGATGTGTAAGGGAATGGGGTGGTTTTCCCAGTGAAATTAATGGTATACCAATGTAAAATTAATAAAAAAAGAGAAAACTATTCTTAAAAATAACATTATAAAGGACATGGGCCACCTAACTAACAAACCACTTCTGGGTTGTTGTTGTTGTTGTGTTTTTTTTTCGGGGGGGGGGGGGGGGGGGGGGGGCAACCCAATTCAAAATTTCCAGCGTTAAATTCCATTGTCTTCAAACAAAAATTATGTCAAGATGTTGAAAAACAATGTTTCACTTTCCGTTTTCAAGTTAGAAAATTTGAATAAAATGATTAACATATTTTCCGATCTCTCTGGTCTCTGCATTAAACATGTTCAAAGCTCCTGCAAAGGCTGCAAAAAGGAAAAGTGAAGATAATCCAAGTGAAATGTGGACAGTAATGGAGTGAATATGGAATGGTTGATCGTAGTTGATAACGAGTAAACGTAAATGAGTGGTAATAACAACTACGACTGAAAGTGAGACAGAATGGAACTGCAACAGGTTGTTCAGTCAAGCAGGCACGTAGCCACGGGGGGGGCACGTGCCCCCCCCCCAAAAAAAGAAGAAAATTCCACGATCGGTTGAACTTTTTTAGACCCCTTTTTTTTATCTCGATCGATTACATGTATGTGCCCCCCCCCCCCCAAACATCAAAGTCTGGCTACGTGCCTGCAGTCAAGACAACAAACCGTTAGTTGCAGAAGATAATTTACGAGAGCCAGAGAAAGAGAGAGAAAGGGAATCATTAAGGTACGATGAGAGTGGGTGGAGAAAAACCATCCACTGTGCCACATAATTTGTTTGTCTAAAATAAGGAAACTTTATACATTAGTATATTTAAAATGTATAATCATAGCCAGAGAATGTGTTGTTATATGGCTTATAGCATGTTTGATTTAATAAAACAAAAACAGACCCAGTTATTGATAGACTAAAAAGGGAATAAGATCGAGACATTAAGAATATCAGTATTTCTTATTCAATTAAGTTAAGGCCACTCCCCCATATTGCGATGCATTCTGGGTATGAGGGGTGGAGCTTAGCAAGCTTGAGATCTGTGAAAAATGGATGGTTATTATCATTTTTTGGTCAATAAAGAGATTTTCAGAAAAATTTTATGCTGGAATATTAAAAAGTAGAGGTGTAATTATGTTTTCAAAGGCTCAGTAAGTCGGCGTAGATATTCATAAATGAATGATACACGCCATTACAACTTTAAAAACAACAACAACACAACGAGTGGAATTTTTAAGGTCCACTTCCCGATGCATCCTGGGTACACCAGCTGTTATACTGGTGATCGATAATACAAGTTCGAGCGCGTATTTCACCTAACGGTGATCGCATCAGAATAATCCACGCTGATTCGCTGAATCACTTGCGTTGCTAGCGCGCAGCATGATGAATAAATTACCCATAATTCCGTACAGTAGATTATTTGACCTCTCTAATTACGCTGATACGCGTATTGTCTTTTACCATGTAGAGAACATCATTCCAGTATACTTTTCGTGGGGAGCATCCTACAGAATGCATAATTCATAAGGCTCATGAATTATGCAAGGGGGCTTATTTTGGCTTCTAATGGATCCGGACAAAATGGCGGAGCTTGGGGGGCCTGGTTCCATTTATGAGATAGATCATACATGTACGACAAATGCAAACTTGTCTATGTCGCTTATTGCTTGGTGCATCTGAATGGTCATGTCTGGTTCCTCAATGATTGTGACTTGATGCTCGTTATTTGCTTTAGTTACATTCCTTTTTATGCCTTTCAATCACTAGACTCACCTGGAATGAAAGCTGCATAACAGAGTCTGGGCTGATCTTGCAAGTCTTAAGAAAGTTCTTTCCAAAGTCCATGTGTTGGTAAGCATCAATGCATAGTTTACTTGTAGCAGCTTCATAGTTATCTCTTGCGGTATTGATGGCATTGGACACACCAGGTTCAAGGTCAAGGGTCAACTAAGTTGGGGAAATTACATGACGATAACTAGTTGAATATCTTGTACAATGTTATCTCTTCAAATCTGTACAAGTATGCATTGTTATGCCAAACTCTGTTTATGTTCGATATAATACTGCCCCACCTTCCACAGTCAATCTATTCTAAAGGAATTATTCATTCATAATAAAGCCCTCTCAGTCAGTAAACCCCATATTCTTATGCACAATTGAGAATATACATGAAAGAAATTGTGATGATAGAATGAGATGATTCTATTAAAAAGACTTATTTAACAGAGGCAATAGTACTTCAAAGCTAAATATTTCTCAGTTAATCAAGTATGAAAATGTCTGAAGTAAACAAAAGCTACTCTGTCGTCTACTTTAAAAGAATGACTTCTCAAACATATGATCTAATAGAAAAATCCTTTGGAAACATCATGTTCTAACTCTTGCTGTAGTACTGTATTCCATGAAATCAAAGTACAAGCCATCATACGAGTTACAACAAAAAAATGTTCTTGCATGAGAAATCATGTGTGATGGTTGTTATACTGACCCTATTGACACCCTGAGATGGATCGGTATTGGATGGCTGTGAGGACGGTGATACAGCAGGTCTTTCATTCATGTCTTTGAACGTCTCATTGAAGAGTCTCAGCACCGCTACCCCATCGCCCCATGCATGCTCAAAGTTCACCGACATCAGCCCATTCTTGCACACAATGATCTGGAACGACTTATCAAACCATCTAAAGAGGTAGAAAGAAGTAGAGTGATATTAAAATCAAAGTGACAGTCAAATTTTAATGGAAATAGTTTTTCTTTTGGTGCCAGCTCACCCTCCCTACTACAAGAATTGTAACATTTCATATTTGTAGATATATATTCTCTGCAAATAGGGGCAGCATGTGCCTCTAAAGCACTATACATAAAACATACAAACTAAATGTTGCAGAGCCCCCGACCAAAAAACTATTTTATCATACCATGTGACCTCAATAATTATATCAAACACTGTTATCACAATTATATTTGCCAGTCTCACTTCTTTGTACTCTATTGATTTTCAGTCTTTATATATTAAACAAGGTTTTGATAAAAAGAGATGCTGGTAATCATAGTGGTCTCGAAGAGGTGGTTATGACAATAATCCACTGTATTTTTTTTTTTTTTTTGGGGGGGGGGCGTATACAAACCACATACAGCACCAGGAAAGGCATTACTTTCAATATCTTCCTCTTCTCTGTTTAACAAAAAAGTTATAATCATCTGATCTATTATTAACCTGCATCAATGAGGAACTCACCTGTATGCTGCATCACCATACAGCATATTCCTTGTCATATCCTCAGGACCATCAGGACTGGTATCATCCAAACACAGACAGAATACAGCAGAGTCAATCATCTTCATCACCTGGGCATTGTTCTCACTGGTATCTACGATCTTCGTCCTGACGTTCGCCCAGACGTCCCTGTTCTCTGCAGTGAGGTAGCCTACGGGGGCATCGGGACGGGGTGTGTTGTCGTTCAGGATGTACTGCAGGTTAGCCTGGATGTCCGCTGGGGATACAATGCTACCTGACAAGCGGGAGAGGGAAGGGAAGAAGAAGTACACATAGGTACACATTAATTCAATGTTAAAACAACAGTGACAGGAAATAATTCTTAATTGAAATGAATATGACTAATTAACCCATTAGCATTGAAGCTGTTCAACCTATTTCTCCCTGAACAGCTTGGAACTACCAGTACACTTTCACGTGCTATAGATGCAAACAAGATGGAACTTCGACTGCGCGCAGTTGAAAATGATGCCTCCGCAATATTTAAAAAATTCAAGTTTGATTGTAATCCATCTGTCAGTTCTAAGGATAATGCGTTCACAAGCTATTTATAGGCATACATAATGAGCCACACAACCTTTGACCTCATGTCCCTAAAATCTAATCAGTAAATTGGCTCTGCAAAATACATATACATGTCTTGAGTTTGATGGTAATCTGTCTATTGGTTCTCATGATGATGCGATCACAAGCTATTTTTTAATACAAAATGAGCCCCATGACTTTTGACCTTTGACCTCATGACCCTAAAATCTAATCAGTTCATTGGCTCTGCAAGATACATACATAACCAAAGTTTGGCGGTAATCCATCTATCGGTTCTTTAAGAGAACGCGATCACGTGCTATTTTTGCATACATAACGAGCCCTGTGACCTTTGACCTTCAACTTCGTCACCCCAAAATCTAATCACTTCATTGGCTTTGGAAGATACATACATGACTCAAGTTTAGAGGGAATCTATCAATCGGTTCTTAAGATAATGCGATCACGAGAACGGGACATACAGACGTACGGATGGACGGACAACCAGAAAACATAATGCCTCGGCTACTTTGTAGCGGAGGCATACAAATATGATATCATTTGCAAATCTCAATATGGTATATTTGCAAATTTAAGTATTTAAATCTATATTGAAAACCTTCAGTTTGGAAGGTTAATGTAAAATGTCTGAAGCCACGTAAAAAACATAATTTACTGTGTCCTTCAGAGTGTCATTGGCTAAAAATTATGTATCTATATTTACAGAGTTCTCTCGCAATAAATCTAAGTTCGCACTAACTTATATTTAGGTACTTACCATCTTGATCAATAACATCAAATGTGTAGTAATGACCGTTCCTGACTACCAGTAAGTGACGACCACTATCATCGGTGACCAGTTCATCCCGACCAATCTGTGGAACACGTGTAGAGTTGAATAGTCTGAAGTATTGGCTCATATCCAATGGAAAGGCTTTGTTGAGGATGGCATAGTAAGCAGCTATTGACTGGGGCATCCACCTGGTTTTAATAGCAACAACAACAAGAAATCATATGAGTGCATATTGATTGCTCACAAACATAACGCTTATTGACAAGAACTTTTCATATTCTTTCTAACATCGAGACAAGTACCTGAATATACAGATATTTTTTGTGGAAAAACCCTTGTTTGTTCTTTGAAATTTTATAAGTTTGTAGCATGGCAGATTCTTTAAATTTTCTTTGCTTTTATAAAATTTGGGGAAAAATAACAGGGGCTTAATTTAAATAACTAAAAAGACTACCGGTACTTAACAGTGCATCCCAGAAAAACGAAACCGAGAATTATCGATGTTTTATCATAACTTAATCACAATTATAATTAACAAATAACACATATTTGTAAGGCTTAGATCCTCCTCTTTCATTTGATGCAACTCATATGATTCATATTTCACGCATGAGTGATTAAAAACAATTTGAAGAGAGGGTACCAAGAAGTCAAACGGTACTGAATTTCAAAGAGAAAACCACATTTCTAGAAGGTTCATTTTCTGCCCTTTCGTATGATACCTCAATCAGGAAAAATGAGCCAGGAATAACAAAGTTCTGTTTGTTTAAAGTAATGCTTGCATTTCCATAATGTGATTTAACAAATTTGATTTCACTGCCTGCTGCCATGGCAACAAACAGAGTGGACAAAAGACTTAACTCCGTTTTGTTGACGATCAGCCATGCACTGTATAAGAACCATGGAGTTACCTGGCAATCTTGCGGAAGCTTTCAGTATCTGATTTCTTAGGGTTGAGATGGTAGACTTCAGGTTCTAGCTTGCCTTCTCTCAAGGTCTTCATCAAACGCATTGCTGAGACTACAATATTTGACGATCTGATGAGCTGTAAAGAATATGACAAACAGGTTCATCAACATAGTACATGTATTCATTTTACTTGCTTATCAAACTGTGAGATACAATCTGATTTAGTATATCACATACTTTTTTATAGACTCAAGCCAGAGCTACCTCAGACGAAGTATTCCATAATTCAATATTGGTGATTGAGTCTTCATCATAATGTTGTAGTTTAAATTAATCAAAGTTCTGCATCCATTTAATAGTTATCTTCTGTTTACCATAAAATGTAGGTACAAATGATACACATTCTGATCACTCAAAAGAACTTTATAATCTTTTAATTTCTCCTTCTCATAATTATATAATACATATATATTTCTTTCTGATGTGCCCTATTTATAAAAGCTCAAAAATAAATTGACAGAAACATATACTGCACCTGGTCATTATACTCTGGTCTTTCATCAAACTTGTATGCCATGTATGGATTAAAGTTGAGCACTATTGACGCCCTCGATTCCAGGTACATGTCAAACCAGGGACCTTCAACAACAAAATTATTTACACAAATTTAAGATACATCGTTTATATTTTATGACAACAGCATAATTTTCTTGTATGGATTGTTTAATTATGATCAATAGCCGCTTCGGGCATGAACATTTTTTTTTGTGACATTTGGTCATTAAAGCAAATGCGCCAATCAAAATTTTCGCAGCTACTCAGATGATGTTTTGTAGCTTTATACCATTCAAGAACAAAAAAGAGGCATTTCTATGGCATAAAACAAAAGAAAGACATGATATTAACTCTTTATGCGCCACTTAAAAAAACCCCTGTGCCACATTCTTTTAGGGTCACACATTTCGAGGGAATCTTTATTGACTCTGCTGAATCAAGAGGCTATAACTCTTCACTGGATGATCATGATGAAAAATATTGTGCAGCAAAGTTGTAGACCGGAAAACGTGCTTTTCGATGAACCGTCATTTGTTATATTTTGAATTATCATTTTTATAATAATCATAATTATATAATGTTTAATTTTTCTTATTTACGGCAGTTTTTTATCCCTCTAGAATTTCTTATTTAGCAATGATAAGACATCTTCAAATCGAATCTATTAGAAAGGTGGACTTCTTACCTTTCTTTACATACCTTGCTCAAGTATTCTAACAATTCAGAAGGTTAGTATTTAGGTTGTTGAAGAAAAGAAGTTCAATAGGGAGAGACTTGAAAGTACCCCGCTCAGCCACCCTTGACAATGGGCTAATCTGCCCATTGAAATCCCTATTACCCCAGGTTATTGTCAATGTCCGGTTTAGCGGGGCATGAAAAGGGACGTCGTGGGGATGTTTTTCTTTGTTGTGCCATGATAAGTCAATAAGAAATAAGAGAATGTTATTGATTTTGCCCACTGGTATGAGCATGTAAAAATGGTATAGGCATAATATATTATATGTGATATACATGACATAATCAGCATCTTATTGAAATGTCTCATTATGAATGTTCACCGCATCTGTTCTCTCACCTTCTTTACCCCTCAATAAAATTGATTTCAAGTACATTTATCACAGCCATAGATATACAAAGAAAGAATGAATCAATCTTAAAATATAAACTATATTGCATTGTTTTCCATTTACTTTATTGTGAGAGAGCTTATTATCAGAAATGATTGACGAGTGGAGTATGCAATGAATAAAATATGGAGAACGGACGTGAGAGACATTATGAGAGAGAAATAGTGATATGAAATGAAAGGACTTTACTGTGAATAAAGATTATAAGAGAAAGAGATAAAGATGACGGCAAGACAGGATACATATTGATACGAAAATAACAATAATAATGAGATAGAGATGACGGAAAGAAAGAGAGTAAACACTGATAGCATAAGAATGAATAAAGATAATAAGAGAAAGATATAGAGATGACGGCAAGACATAGGGTACATATAGATAGGAAAATGATAATAATAATAAGATAGAGATGACGGAAAGAAAGAGAGTAAACACTGATAGCATAAGAATGAATAAAGATAATAAGAGAAAGATATAGAGATGACGGCAAGACATAGGGTACATATAGATAGGAAAATGATAATAATAAAAAGATAGAGATGACGGAAAGAAAGAGAGTAAACACTGATAGCACAAGAATGAATAAAGATAATAAGAGAAATATATAGAGATGACGGCAAGACATAGGATACATATTGATAGGAAAATAATAATAATAATAAGATAGAGATGACGGCAAGAAAGAGAGTAAACACTGATAGCATAAGAATGAATAAAGATAATAAGAGAAAGATATACAGATGACGGCAAGACATAGGGTACATATAGATAGGAAAATGATAATAATAATAAGATAGAGATGACGGCAAGAAAGAGAGTAAACACTGATAGCATAAGAATGAATAAAGATAATAAGAGAAAGATATAGAGATGACGGCAAGACATAGGGTACATAATTATAGATAGGAAAATGATAATAATAATAAGATAGAGATGACGGAAAGAAAGAGAGTAAACACTGATAGCATAAGAATGAATAAAGATAATAAGAGAAAGATATAGAGATGACGGCAAGACATAGGGTACATATAGATAGGAAAATGATAATAATAATGAGATAGAGATGACGGCAAGAAAGAGAGTATTACACTCATAGCATAATAATGAATAAAGATAATAAGAAAAAGATATACAGATGACGGCAAGACATAGGGTACATATAGATAGGAAAATGATAATAATAATAAGATAGAGATGACGGAAAGAAAGAGAGTAAACACTGATAGCATAAGAATGAATAAAGATAATAAAAGAAAGATATAAAGATGACGGCAAGACAGGATACATCTTTCTTTCATTAGTTTTATTCATTCTTATTCTATCACTGTCTACTCTCTTTCTTGCTGTCATCTCTAGCTCTTTCATTAATTTTTATTCATTCTTATTCTATCAGTCTACTCTCTTTCTTGCTGTCATCTCTATCTCTTTCTTTCATTATTTTTATTCATTCTTATTCTATCACTGTCTACTCTCTTTCTTGCTGTCATCTCTATCTCCTTCTTTCATTTTTTTTATTCATTCTTATTCTATCAGTCTACTCTCTTTCTTGCTGTCATCTCTAGCTCTTTCATTAATTTTTATTCATTCTTATTCTATCAGTCTACTCTCAGGGAACACTTTTATCACTAGAGTCTTCGTCACTGCTCGATTCGTCGGAATCAGAGTCCATGCTCCATGCTTCCATAGTAACAAGATCTCGAGCCTCCTCTACACTAAACACACGTTGACGTTTTCCAGCAGGTGCCATCGTAACATCAGTAAAAAAAATCCAAAGAAAACCGCTAAATACACGGTAATTTCGAATGTAACACTATGAAGAAAAACAGTTTACCGGAAAGTGTGCGATGTATACAATGTAAACAATAGTAAACGCAACGCGTGGCTACACACTGCGAGCGGTATTATGAATGTCTAATTGACTCGTATACATCTGTGCAAAAATGCGAAGTTGGCACGCCTACGTCCGTGCAAATCGGCGAACAAAGCAAACAAAGAGTTAAGAAAAATCAAACAGAAATCCTTCATTCATTCAAGTTTTCAATATTTACCAGAAATGTAGCTTGTGTGCTTGTTTCTCTTATTCTGGGCTATGAGTTGACTGTTCAAAGCTAAGGAGAAAAGGAAAGAGAAAAAGATTTACTAAGTTAGACTAAAATATCACCTACGCACATGAAACATATCCAGTAATGGAATCAAAATATATTTCTGCTTAATATTAAATACATGTACAACTGTACATGCTTATGGTCATACATGAGAAAGTTTTTTAATATAAGACCTTTCATTTTTCTAACTACATATATTTAACAAAAAACTTGTGTCAGTCATACAAAACATCTATTAATGTAGTAATTCATTAGTGAAGTAAATACTTGATGAATGTAATAAATAATACAGATCATTTAAGTGAAAAACAAACATTCCTATTCACTCTAAAGTACATATATTTATTCATTTTTCAATACATACAAGTACTTGAATATTTTGATCAGATGCACTGGAATTGCAGAAATTGGATTCAGCTCAATAATGCATGCGGATTAAATGTAAAACTGGTCCTTACAAATAAAAACATTCAGCTTTTAAAAGAAAATTATATTTTAAATGGTACCCAAAAATGATAGCAATGCATCTTCATGTAACAAAAAAGAATGACTTGTAAAAAAGAAGCATTAATAGGAAAAAAAAAATATGCTTTCCTTACAATTGCCCTCTCCTTTTTCAAAGTCCTGAACAATCTTTTTGGTGGCAGCATACACTTCAGGTGTAAGCACTGGCTCCTGTGATTTAAGGTAACGACGACAGGTATACGAGAGCTTTGGAATGGGGAGACGTGGAAGGCTGTGCTGGAAATGCATTGTGGGGACAATGCTGTCTTGGATGTAGTCTGAAGAAGTTGAGCTGTAATATTAAACGAATGTCAGGTTAAGTATTTGAAAATATACAAGGATAAATGCTGAATGACGAAGAATAGGCCCTACTTGTATCTGTGATCGAGGATGCTAGGAGGAGGCTAGGGAGGGGATGAAAACTAATCCATGATGTTGGCTTATAAATTGAATGGTATTACACGATTCTTGCAAAGTTTGGATACAATCTAAATATATCTTTCTTTAACAAGAAGTGTTCAAACAAATGTGTAATTATTGCCAATCAGGCTCTTTGGTAGCACCCCTAGGCTCTTTGGGTAGCACCCCCGAGAAAGACAACTAAAAAAAGTAATGCAATACAGGCATCAAATTTTTATTTTTAAAATCCTTAATTTCAGTGAAACAGTGACCAGCAGTCTGTTACCTTGATAACAAGACTTTCAAAATATACTTTGGGGTCTCGATATTATACACTTTGTATTCCTTCAGCAAAATGATTTATCTACCAGACAATAGCTGTAAAACCAGTATATTTAGTGAAAAGTTACTTCTGAAAAATGCTAACAACAGCCGTTGTAACAGTGAAGAACTTCATGAAATACCAGAAAGTTTGATGCATATAGAATTTCTTATCATTGAGCAATAGTAAATGTAAATATACACATGGCTCATGCATCTGAAGGTGGCGAGTCTGACCAGGCTATAATAAATACAGAATATAAGTTACCCTAAATAATATCAATCATACCTCTTGCGAAAGCTTTGGAACGCTCTCCATGATGAAGCAACCTGGAGGCACTGTAATCAAGATATTATGCATTGAGTTTGAATTAAACATTAATAAGAATGATATTAATATTAAAGTTTGCTACCACACAGCCATTCACTCATCAAGTGGAGTCACCTGACCAAATCAGAAATTAATTATAGCCCAGAGTTTATCATGATTGCATACATTGCTTACATTCTTGGCATATCAAACTGATTTCATGAACTCATGAATATTCAAGATAAATTTGAACCTAATAGATCAATAGAGAGTCCTTATGATCTGGAGAGCTAAACTGATGGAGACCTACATGACCACTGCCATGCTTATAGCAGCATACACTGTACTACAACTAAATGATTACAGAGAAATCAAATGTTAATAGAAAATTGCTTTAAAAGAAAGCAGAAACATCAAAGAAGCAGATTGATGAAAGTTTGAATGAAATTGGACAAACAATAACAAAATTTTATGAATTTGAAAGTTAAATCACTTTACATTTGGAAATTCTAAATTGGCTGAATCAGTATTATGCACTGTGATGTAGGGCCAATTACCAACTCTCCCATTTGTTCAAACACACAAAATGACTATACAGTCAATTCTTTTTGAAAACCTGTAATAATATGATTGCTATTTATATAGAAGAATTGATTGTGAATATATCACAATTCACTGACCAAATTGCTGATTTGAGATTCCCATAGATTTATTGATCTGATTATCTCATAAACATATCTGAAACATTCATAACTTTCTTATTATATATTTCTTCAATTCGCTTCTCTTATTTTTCTGCTTTCACACAGATGGACTCATCAGGTTGGATTGCACTTTAAGGTTCTATATAGATTCTTTTGGATTCTGAAGTATGAACTTGAGTTATAAACTAGGGTAAGCTATAAATAAATACTATGAAATTTCCCTAAAATTCCTCAAGCTCAGGCTTCAAATTGATCTCTTTTGACTTCTTGCTCCTACTTAGTAACTTAGCCTAGCTATGGCCATGACCCATGAGGCAAAACATCTTTGAGTTGGCTTTGATTAACGTTCTCTTCCCAAATTAAACAGCCTTCCACGGCTTACAGCAAATGTAGTGCACACCAAAAGTCAAGATTCCAGAGCACTTCCAAGGAATACTCAAATACTCCAGCATTAAAAAAAAATTGTCTTCCCCAAACCACTTGCAATTTTTGGTCCATCTTCCTGATGCTGATAGGCTGCATAGCCCTGAAGATTACCAGATAGTGATAACAATAATAATGAAGAAGTAGAAGAAGAAGAAGAAGAAGAAGAAGAAGAAGAAGAAGAAGAAGAAGAAGAAGAAGAAGAAGAAGAAGAAAGAGAAGGAGAAGGAGAAGAAGAAGGAGGAGAAGGAGAAGGAGAAGGGGAAGGAGAAGGAGGAGAAGAAGATGAAGAAGAAGAAGAAGAAGAAGAAGAAGAAGATGAAGAAGAAGAAGAAAGGAAAAAAAAGGAGAAGAGGAAGAGGAAGAGGAAGAGGAAGAGAAAGAAGAACAACAACAACAAGAACTACTACTACTACAACAACCAGAACAAGTTATCAGCGCAGCCTGCTCCCTGCCAATACACATTAGCAATGACCACTATGAGCTATACTTTGCTTGGATCCGAGTAGACAGAAATAACCATCTGATTTGGGTCATTTCTTTAATAAAACTGACATTTGTTGTCATTCCCCAATACAGATGGTAACCCAGAGATCTCGTACCGTGGGGGTAATTTAGAGCCACAGCGGAACATCTTTTCGTTCCCGACATTTCTCCCCCGATTTTCTTTATTTAGATCTAATTTTCTGATTTCTAAATCAGATGTAAATTAGGTCGGTATGTCATTTGTCCTAATTACAGTTATCAAAATTTGATAACTTAATATTAAATGTATAATTTACGGACTTACTTATATGAATTATCCAATTTGTATCTCCGAACTGTGAAACAGTACGTTCATGCACTCGAACATAGGGCTATATGACCCGGCGGCCAAAATATTTCCGGGTCAACCTACCAAAACATAGCCAAATGGCCAATCAGAGCACTTGTTTCGTGGGAGTTCGTTGGTCAAGCTGGGCTGACTCGTACGTAGCTACGGTAGCTATTGGACGTTCGAAAAGAAAAAATGAATATTCATCAACTAAAACCAAGACGGATAATGTTGACCACGAGACTTTCTCGGATTAATCATTAATTTAGGATCTAAATGAGCAAGCTATCGTAAGTCAAATAAGCTATATATATGTTATTTTTAATTTTTATTATAATTGCAGCAGTTATGAAGATGTAAAGAGTGAAAATCTTGTTGCATATCTCATTCATCGCGGTCCGGTCGAACCGAACCATTTGTAGGGAGGCCAATGCCCAAATCTAACTTTTTAATTACTAATTTGTTTATAATAAAACTAAGATTAAAAGAAAGCATTTACTTTCACTAAGAAAATTCACCCATCTGCCGACTCCAGAAGTTCCATCAAATAGGAGATATCCAGCTCTTTTTATCCAGCTTCCTTCTACGCCTATCCGTACGTAAGAGCCTTGAAACAATTATATTTCATGTCGCAAAGTTACGTTCATAATTAGACAGGCCCGAGGGAATGGGCGTGTCATTGTCTGGACAAAGTTCATGATGAAGTTTAAAACTTCGCGCGAAAGTGCAATCACTCAACAGCGGCTAGCCTTGAATCGGTCGCACACGTATACACCGACACAGGCAAGCCCCGATGCAGGCTGAAATCCAGCCATCAATGTGCGAACGATTACATCTTTTACTACTACTACGAGCCGAAGGCGATGGTTCAAAAATGAAGAAGAGATATCAAAATTGGCAGGAAAGAAATATATATAATTCATTGATATTTACCTTAGATGTGTATTCCAATAATTTGATTTCCTCATGAGTATTCCTTATTATCAACGATCGAGAAGTTACGAGGTCCAATTAACATCCATCTTGCAGCGAACACAATGTGGAGTACAATAGGACAGCAGCATGCATAGCGCATATCCATGCAACGTACGTGTACTAATATTTCTCTCACTCTCTCCCTTTCGCTATACGTAACATACACACTCACTAACCATGTATCATACAACACACACCTTCAAATCATGGCTTTCATTTCAATTCTCAATTGGAGTATAGACTGCTCACGTAGACTTTTTTTTTACTGAAAAATCTTTTTTAACACTTCTCATACATTACTGCACGACACTCGTATCTAGTGCTGTGAGAATAAGGTACTAGGGTCTATAAATAAGACTACGCTTTGCGCACGATCTGACCGAAGCTCAGACATATGTCGCAATACCCTTTATTTTTGGCGCGAACAATGACGTCACTGTTCACAGTTTTCCTTCTCATTTTGAGATGGATGTAGCTATAGGGCTCAAACCAACGCAAGATTGACAGAAACATTGTACTCTATCTACTTTCGAATGTTCAGTTTGTAAAAATCTGTATTTAAAAAGATATAATCTTTTTTCTTTATATTTTTTAGTTGTTAAAAGTGGCAATTGTGAACATCTGAAATGTTGATCTCTATCAAAAGTTCTTTACTCAAAACGGATCCCATATTTTTTAGGGTCTACCTTCAGCCAATGAGAAGGTTTTTAGTGAGCAAACCTCTACGCCCCCTAGGATTTTCTTAGTCGGTGGTGTGTGCGCGTAAAGTTCGTCTGCTACAACAATTATTGGATTAAAATACGTCAAAATCTGCAAGATCGTCAACAAATGGTGAAAGACCGTTACAGATCCGTGATTATAGGTATGTTGTGAAATGTATAATTGTATTTTCTTTTCTTATTTTCACCAATTTTTATTTGGCGCTTGTTCAGTAACTTAGGTATCCAAAATTTGGCAATCCTATACTTCAGTGTGTTTTATTATTTTGGGTTTCTAACTTCAGTTTAACCCTAACCCTAACCCTAACCCTAACCCTAAACCTAAACCTTAACCTAACCCTAACCCTAACCCTAAACCTAAACCTAAACCTAATCCTAACCCTAACCCTACCCTAACCCTACCCTAACCCTAACCCTAACCCTAACTAGTGCTGTAGTCAAACGTTTAACCGTCCGGTATCCGAACGCCCATGGCGGATTCCGTTTTCAATTGGACGGTTTCGTTTTCCCGATTTTTTTTTTAATTTTTTTTTTTTTTATAATTTCGATTTATGCCCCTCCACCTGGCACTATGCCTGGCAATGTCTCCCAGCTCAGTAATCTGTGTGTTGACTCACCACTCCAAAACTAGAACAACACTCCAATTTGTCTGTCATCTTGGTTTGAAAGTAATCTTTGTAATAGATCTCATCATCTCAATATGTAGTTTATAATAATAATTCATCCAACTTTTACACAAGGTTCTGTCCTAGGTCCTCTACTGTTTTTAATTTACATTAATGATCTTACACATTCTTCTAAAAACAACATTGTTACTATTATTTGTGACAAGTTCACAAGCACAAAGCGGCCCCTTTAAATGCACCTCGCAGTTAAATGAAAGTTGCCGACAGAGTCGCCATTACAAACGTGTAGATGGCGCACAGTTTTTCCTTCATTATCATTTTGCCTTCGGCGTAGACTAGAAGGGATGAGATTGACGGCAGCGAGAGTTTAACACGGCTTGCAAGATTTTCAACATGGATGTCGATTTTGACCCATAATTTCCTTAAGAGGGACCATTAAACGGATTATTTCAATCAAGTTAGTAAGTGGAACCGATGTATTATAGCCTAGATCTAGGCCTAATGTAAAATTGGATATGCACGAGGTAAAATGACATTTTGGGGGATTTTGGGGGCATAACAATACGGCCGTGGCAAGTTTGTTCATGTTTGTGGGAGGGGCCTAACGGCTAAAGTCTAGCCGTGATATCTTCAACATAGGCTGGCATAGGCGATCGTTCTGTCTCTATAACCGGAGGTCTAGAGGTCTAGTGGAGCCAGACGTAGTCTCAGTGGAACAACCGACGGTATAGAGACTGAAGCTTTCGGTCTATGGCCTCCCTACCATTTGTTTCGTACAGTCCCGTACAGTCCCGTACAGTCCCGATAGGCCATACTTCAGTCTTTATAATCGGAGGTCTAGGTCTAGTGGAGCCAGACGTAGTCTCAGTGGAACAACCAACGATTAGAGAGACTGAAGTTTTCAGTCTAGTGCTGCCCTAGAATAGATGATAGATCCCCGCGGCGCGCCGCTGCACGGCGAAGACGGGGATGTTCCCTGGAACTAGGCCTAGCTACAGTAGCTACATTAGACGCGAGCAAACATAATTTCCTACATGTGGGGCAATGCTTTCGGCCATATCTTCATACCAACCACGGAAACAAATGGTTTAACATTGTTAAAATTTAAGTTGCCACCTCGAAGGATTGTTTAAATATCAAACGCTTATATAATTCATACCCTTAGATTTGATCTCAAGTGCTCTGCAGTCACCAATCTTTGAATTCCAGCCATTTTCCAAGAGTTTTTTTCGATACTGCTACCGTCACCGTCAGATCCGCCGAATTTTGGGAGTGGGGGATGGGGGGAGTGGGTGTGGTCAGGGTGACCGGTGGAGTCGAGTGGGGGCTAGAAGAATATGTTTTTTTTTAAGTAAGTTCAGCCCATTTTCCCAAATTGTTGCCACGTATACCCGAAAAATGGGCTAGTTATATAATCTATTATCTTGATTTCAAATGTGTTGTCTTCAAATGAGGTCGCGTACTATAGCTAGCGATATTAGGCTAATAGCTATGATTTCATTCTTAAATGAGGCCTTTTTATTATAATTGAAGCATACTTTCTCTGCTGATATTCATGTATGATATATTGGGGAGGGGTGATATAGGACAAGAAAGAAAAATTAGCGCCGAAATCATTTCCACAAAAAATCTCGAGGCGAAATCTTAAATATCACTTTAAAAACAATTAAATCTAACTTAATTTATAGGCCTTTAATTATCAAAATTAAGCAAATTATACGGAATTTCAAATAAAGACACCAAGGGTGTCGATTTGTATCCGTGGTTGGGGGGGGGGGGGGATGATAGGTGCCAAAATATTTTCAGCAATGGATCAAAGCAATCAGAGGTAGAAGCGTGTGGCAAGTTGCACCCCTCCCAAGCGCGTAGCCAGGATTTCATTTTAGGGGGCGGTAGTGAGCACGCGAAGCGCGGCCCCTAGGGGGTTGCGTGCAGGGAGGGGGAGTTCCCCCCCCCCCCCGCGAAAGCGCGGAAGCTTTGACGTTTCACTAAATTATTAGAGAAAGAAGACGATTCGTTGGACCGTTCTTGACTCTTAATCCTTGTTTGAATCAAGTTCCTCTTCCTCCGCGCATAGCGCGGAAGCTCTGACGTTTCATTAGATTATTAAAGACAGGAGACAATTCGATGTAACATTCTCAACTCTTAATCCTACAATTCGATGTACCAGTGGCGGATCCAGGCGGGGGGGGGGGGCCCGGGGGCCCGGGCCCCCCCCCCCCCCTTGAGAAAAAAAAATCATGTAAAATCACGTGATTTTTTACCTTTTTGGGGGTTGGGCCCCCCCCTGGCGCTCAAGGGGGGGGGGGTGTGCAAATTGAAATTTTTTTGAGGATCAAAAAAAAAAATGTGCTCACTACCCCCCCCCCCCCCGCCCCCCACTGAGCGAATTTTTGGCCGGCGCGTTTTTTCAAATTTTCGGGAGCAAAAAAAAAAAAAAATTGTGCTCTGTACCCCCCCCCCCCCCCCCCCCCCCCCCCCCCCCCCCCCCCCCCCCCCCACTGAGCGACTTTTCGGCCGGCGCGATTTTCAAATTTTCGGGAGCAAAAAAAAAAAAAAGTTGGCCCCCTCCCCTAAGAAATCCTGGATCCGCGCCTGCGATGTACCATTCTCGACTCTTAATCCTTAATGTTTGAATCATGTTCCCCTTCCGCTTCTGACGTTTCATTAGATTATTAAAGAAAGAAGACCATCCTATGTACCATTCTCGACTCTTAATCCTTGTCTGAATTCATTTTCGCCCACTCCTGCTCGAAGCGCGGACGCTTTCACATTAGAGAAAGAAGACGATTTGTTGTATCGTGTCCTTCATGAATTCAGTTTCTCCCCTACCGCGCAAAGCGCGGAAGCTTTGACGTTTCACTAAATTATAAGAGAAAGAAGACGATTCATTGGACCGTTCTCGACTCTTAATCCTTGTTTGAATCAAGTTCCCCTTCCTCCGCGCGTAGCGCGGAAGCTCTGACGTTTCATCAGATTATTAAAGAAAGAAGACGATTCGATGTACCATTCTCGACTCTTAATCCTTAATGTTTGAATCAAATTCCCCCTTCCCCGTGCGTAGCGCGGAAGCTCTGATGTTTCATTAGATGATCAAAGAAAGAAGACGATCCTATATACCATTCTCGACTCTTAACCCTTGTCTGAATTCATTTTCGCCCATTCCTGCGCGAAGCGCGGAAGCTTTCACATTAGTGAAAGAAGACGATTTGTTGTATCGTGTCCTTCATGAATTCAGTTTCCCCCCTACCGCGCAAAGCGCGGAAGCTTTAACGTTTCAATAAATTATTACTCTTAATCCTTGTCTGTATTTATTTTCGTGAATTTTAAAAAGGGTGAACGGAAACAACATAACAACTAGAGAACTATTTTATAAGTCATACTAATGTCCGAAAATCTTTCTCCTTGTCTCCGATCTCATCACGAAATCGTCACAGAGTTCATTAATGTTTACACTGTCCAGGATTGTCTGATGTGCATTGCAGATTGCTACTTTTGCGCTTGGCGCTTAACATTTAGCTCGTTGCTTTTTGACGCTGCGTCTTTGCATTTGGCGCACTGCATTTCTATGATGCTGTTGATTGAACAAATTGAATAAATTCATCAATTCCTGATGAAGCCGTATGAGCGAGAATTAAATTTATTCTTGTCTCATATACGGTTGTCTTATTTACTTCGTATATATGTATGTATTATGAAAATGAGATAGCAAAATGTGTATATTGATGGTCATCTTGCGAGTAATAGCCATTAACTACTCTCATCGGGCTCTCATCCTTAATTTTTCTCATTTTTTGTTTTGTTTTGATGGTGAATTATTGGGGGGGGGGGATGATTGTACAGGCCATCCCCCCCCCCACCTGAAATATTGGGGGGGGGGGATATATCCCCCCATCCCCCCCCCCCCGGGATCGACACCCATGAAAGACACCATTGACAAGTTTAAATATATCAACATTATTGACCTTTACTTTTGTGCTAAATTTGGTGCTATGTATTACAAAATGCAAAATCCGCGTATAGGCTGATAAAATGACGATAGGCCTATGCTGGTCCCGCACTAAAATGCACGTATGTGAAATGAAATGATCGAGCGATCAATCCTTTATTATTCCGTTTAAAGAAAGTCAAGAAACAATTAAGAAACAACTACTTAATTATCTATACCCCAAACAAAGTTTATTCATTAGAATTTACGTCATTCAAGGCTGCATTCTGGTGTAAATGAGTCAAATATATTTATATTAAATTAAGTACAGAATTAAATCACATCTAGGCCTCGTAATTGATATATATTGGTTACATGAACTATTCAGATCTGATTTGAGGATTTGATCACGATGTCAAGAAAGATCACAAAGCATAACTAGAGTCGTTTGCAATTTTACACGATAATGTATTGAGTAGGCCTATATGCTCCCGGATTACATTGCACTTATGATTTTGAAAGGTCAGCAGAATAAAGGTGTGAAAAGAAAAGGAAGAGATATTAGACAGACAGAAATATAGTGATCGATAGATATTATGTATATATATATATATATATAGAGAGAGAGAGAGAGAGAGAGAGAGAGATGTGAGGGGGAGGAAAATAATCTCAGAAGGGGATATTTATAATAATATCGGAAGATACAGAAGAGTATCATTTTTTTTTTTTTTAATGTGGATGATATAGGAAACATTATTATTCAAATATTATCTGATGAAACCGGTCACAGTGAAAAAGTAAACTCTCAAAATTGTTCGTTTCAATCGTTTTAATCATCATTTTTATTAAATGATTATTCGGATTGAATTATTTGTTCTATGTCATAATTATATATATATATATAGAGAGAGAGAGAGAGAGAGAGAGAGAGAGAGAGAAGAGAGAGGGGTGATGAGGTTAGAGGTAGTGCAATGTACAAGCGATTAAGATTGGAAGGTGTCATGTGGTCTAACTTCAAGGCTAGAAAACCTTTCATGATCTGTATACCTAATGAGTTTGCTTTTACATGCTAAAAATATAGGCCTATATAAATATGTCTGGAATTATTGAGATGAATACATACATTATGGTGCTATTTAAAATAATAGAACCCATTATCACACTGAGGATCTAACGAGGAAACCCAAGCTTTGCTTGTTGCAGGTATCACATTATTTCATTCTATTCCCTATATATAGCCATAGCAGTTATTTAAACAACTTCTTAACATTATTGTACGACCATGACCAAAGTTCTTTGATGCTGTAAATTCACGACGACGACCCAAATTATTTTAAACTATGTTGTCCTCTGCGTCACAGTATAGAACGTAAATACTTTCAAGATGTCGCTAAGAGGACACATCCCTAATGCTGTAAATTCACGACGGTGACCTAAATTATTTCAAACTATATTGTCCTCTGCGTGACAGTATAATAATTTAGAACGCAAATACTTTCAAGATGTCGCTAAGAGGACACATCCCTAACAAAGCTAAACAAACATGTTTCGGCTCCTGCCAAGATGTCTCAAGATTGCGCTTTTGTGTGAAGATGATCATTCAAATCCCAAGATCAAATAAAAGCAGTAGTACCGAACAATGGTAATATAATGAACTCCTCTATTTGAACAACTTGTCTATCGGGGAATGGGTGAGAACGACTAGAAAGTGATTTTTGCGTCATCTTTTGTTATTCCACTGAAGCACAGCAACAGTCTTTCGTGACGATTTACATTGTTATCCTTTAACCATAAAAGTGTCTCTGAGCGTGTTTTGATTTCTAACACTTCCAACAACGGCAACATCCCAACTGGAACTGCATTTTGTCCTCATACTTGTTGTTTTGTAATACACAGTATTGGATGCAGTGAGCCTACTTTATTTGTAATCGCCGTGATTTCCAACCTTAATTATGATTACCGTAGGCATAACGTCGACGTTATTGCTGTGAAAATACGTCAATGTGTCGTCAAAGTACAGGTGATCATGGGAACGAAAACATAATATTTATGCAAGTATAGAGTTTAACATGTTACTTATTTCATAAGCCTGCTAGACGACGTCAACCCATCGTTAATTGATCTTACGAGACTTTTTAATCAACGAGGGATTGATTATGCAAAGACTGTGGAAGCTACATCGTTCAACTTCTAATTTATACTCCAGGACACCGAATATGAGATTTATTATTGTCCAGAGATTGGTTTACTTGCGTCAGTATTCCTCAGTCCACACGTAGTTCCATCTTAATTAGACACTTTGAAAAAGAGTGACGGTATTCGCGGGATGTTTCTACAATCACTAATT